CAAAATTCTACTTGGTATTGTCTCTTATCCAATAAAGCAATTACTGACGTTTTTCTTCTATTCACAGTGGGATAGTCACTACAATATAGTGAGAATAATAGAAGAGCGCTTTGCGATGCTACATATGCATCTAAACGCCAAATCGGTCCGCGAGGATCCAATAGCTTTCAGCGTTTACATGAACCTACGTGGTACTGAAATCTTTTTCCATGAGGTTGCGGTCAAGTTGGTAGAGCAGCAAGGATATCCGATTTTAGCCGCTACCGAAAGCCAGAAACGCTCGATGGCTGCTGCCTACAAAGTTGCGACTACTATGCGTCTAAACTGGCCCTGTCAGCAGCTCGACCGCGATATTCTCAACCTGCAGGCCACGTTCCTCGCGTGGCCTGTGGTGATGGCTATGAAAGCTCTCAGCCGCGAGCTTAAAGGTTCTACACAACTGAAGAGCGAAAGTACGAGCAGTGCAGTGGCATCTTTACGGTTACTCCGAGCCGCGTTAGACTATATTGAGGAGTCAGATGGATACTGGCATCGATGTACAACGAACATAGTGGCGGCGCTACAAGAGTGGGACGAGACCAGCGGGTATGACCCCAGTGACATATGACCTTTTTCTTTTGACCGAGGTATAGGATAGATATTCACGATATTCACACATGCAGGTGAAGTCATCATTGTAATATTTTTTGCAAGGAAGGAGTATAGGATATTTACATCCCCAACTTGGGTCAAGGCCGAGTCGAGTCACTCTGCCAGCAGCATGGATAACGGATACAGCGCTAAGCATAGAAAGAAGGGAAACATTATCTCGGGAGTTTTTCATGCAATTTAGACCCGCTTGGCTGTTTGAACAGTCCAAGCAAGACCTAGCTAGAGCAGCATATTTTATGTAGACAAGCGCATATACAGATCATCGCCGGAGTTTCTCAGATTCGGCGGCTAAAAATAGAAAAAAGTTTAATCTATTATATTGTGTTATAATTAATATTTATGATTGGTTTGAATTAAATATGCTATAACGTGTTCTATGTATGTATATTGGTGATGACTATCTCGATCGTGATCTATAGGATTGCTAAATACTATACACTATTAGGGTTAGGGGAATAGGAATCCTTCAACGATCATCCCATCTCCATCACGAACCACATACTTAATACTCTATAGCATGATGTAATCATGGTAACCCCGGGGATGAATATAATCTAGGACTTCTTTACAATAAATCATGTGATAATCACCGTTTCTATTATTCAGCAGGCGGAGGTTCCCTAATCATCTTAGTCAGAGGCGCGGTGACTTCCGGCTAGCTGGAGTAGGTATAACGCATCGTGATGGTTTATTATGTCTATCAATATGAGTACCTCTTACAATACCTAAATGTTTATCACCTTAACTATAAATAAATAATATGATGCAATACCTGGGTATATTGAAGCTTGTTCCAGGTAGAGAGAGATCAAGGGATGAAATACCACGTTACCATATCACATATCGTGAAAAGGAAAAAAAGGTAAAAAAGAATAAAAATAAAATAAACAAAAATAAAAGAGAAGGAGGGAAGTGAGAGATACCTAGAGAGAATCTACTTGGTAGAAACAGATTATGCACTTCCTCAGCAGCATCTAGCCCTTAAGCAGTATCGCCGTCGTCGCTAACGGCCTTAAGGTTTGCTTCCGCCACTCCGGTGTCGCAGGGGTACGTAATTCTGCTTTCCTCTTTCGTGTTTCCCAAGTTTCCCTGTCCTTCTATACATACGTGCATTACATTACATTACATGCCATGCCATGGCATGCCATGCCCAGGGACACACACGCTACGTGCGTATATGTACGAATAATAGTTCCTAAAACATTCATGTCCATGTAAACTATGTCACGGAGGCTAGTGCTGATCCACCTCCCTATCGGGTAAGTCAGTCCATGGTGACCTATATTTTTATTTTTTTTGTCTAGTCCAGTCTAAAGTTGCCCTGGCAAAATGGATGCGAGCCTGTCGATTTGATTGTGGCCTGCAGATGCTCATGACGTAGGATTGGGTATGCGGCAGACAGACAGACATACAGACATACAGATACAGACGGACATGAGGGATAGATAAGCATAATAGTGCCGTCGAAACTAGTTGCAGATCCACCAACGGGACTGTTGCTACTATGCTACTATGCTATGTGTTATATGATATGTTATGTGTATGTGTATGTTGGTGGAGTGCGCCGTTTATTTTGACGTCCACACATAAGAGGTAGAGATAGGGCAGAGGGAGGGGGGAGATATGTGCCCTTGTACGATTACGACGACTTCCCATGGCTTTTTTTTTTTTCTGCGGCCTCTTTATGTACCTCTTCCTGTATGCAAGTTTAACAAGCATGAATGAGTAAGATTCTTAGACGCTGCGTTGCCGCCTGCGCATCTGCGGGCTTACGAAGATCAATTTACATTCCCGAGAAGGAGGAAAAATAACGCCGAACGCGAGGTTGAACTTATAACGTTATATTGATATATACCTATATATAAGATATATATATATATATATAGGTAAGTATATATACCTAAATAATGAAATTTACTGAGTTATCGTTTTATTTATTCGTAAGCGATAATTATGAAAAATTAATTATATGATTTTATAATTTCATAATTAATCCTTTTTGTTTTTGTCATTTGTCATTTGTCATGATATATAATAATCTTTCAAGTTGAAATTTTCATATAAAATGGTGGTTTTTTCATACTTTTTCATACTGTTTTAAACCGAGAGGGTGAAAACGGCAAGTATCATTTTTCATCGTACAAATGTACCTGCAGGGCGAGCCGTCCCGTGCCGCGTCGGAGTAACCATTTTAAGACCCATCTTCAGGCCTCGTTTGGCCTTACTAGTCAAGGTAGAGCTCCCCACAGGTCTTCCCATTGCCCCACTGAAGCTATGTACTAAGTGGGGTGGCGGGGGGTTAATGAAGGGTAAAGGAGGGTAAATGAGGGTCTCGTAATCGAAGTCTCTTTTCATCCTACACATCCTACACTAAAACACTAGAGGATGACAGCCAAGAGACTTGAGTTAGGCAGGCTGGAGTATTCCGGAGAAGTAGGCTGGAGTAGGCTGGGGCTATCGGGAGTCAACTTCCTAAGACTAAGCCTAAGTCTAAGCCTAAGCCTAAGCCTAAAAATTCGTGTGTTGTCATGATACGGTCAGTATTAGGGGGAGAATCGACGCGCGGTCTTACCATTTGGTTCTTGGTTCTTGGGTTTCTTGGGTTTCTTGGTGTCTTCGTAAAAGGAACGAAACAACTTATCAAGCTTCTCTTAGAGAAGGGAGAAGGGAGACTTCTCCAGACTGAGAACTCCGCGGGATTCACCCTTCAAGAGTGATCGCGCGCGCTATGCTGCCCAATCAATCAGACACGCTGCCCACGACGACGAAACGCCCCCACCTAACGCAGATAATATAGGATATTTGAGACCAGTGTGTCGAGTTGATAAGGGGGGTCGATTAGTGAATGTTGCTCTATGCCAATCAGTCAGTTCAAACCTCCTCAAGAGGAACCTTGCTTACATGGAGGTAGGATCTACAAAAAAAAAAAAAAATAATAAACAATTTCATCTGGAAAAGACTAGCGCGATTACTTTTTGAAAGAGGTTCTTACGAACTATATCAACTTATATACTGTGTTTTTTGTTGAATGAAATAAATGAAATATCTGTTAATATATGTTAAGAACGGTGCTGACATGGCGCTCCCCGTGTGTTGATCGAGTTTTACACCGGAGCGGCCGCCCTTCCCGATTGGAAAGACTTGGAGAGCCACCATTGTTCGACTTAGTCCCGCGATTCTGAGGGAGGCAATGAGGAAAGGGGCCGGTCTTCGGTCGGATACGGCCAGCGGCCCAGCGTTCCCGAAACTAATAGATTGATCGGCGAACCTTCGGTATTGATCTCCCGTGATAGTAATGAATTTGCCGTGATTTTATTTAATCTCTTTAGGCGTAATCTTTCGCAGATGTTTGCCCTTGTAATCGTAGCACCGGCAACTCATCATTACATGATTCTGTAGAGAACTAGACTTAGGCTTGGCATATCACCTGTTAATTATCAATTGTCAATTCTCGATTCTCAATAATGGTGATGATGACGATTACTTAGAAATACTATGCGATCATAGTCGGTCCGGGAAATACCGCAGCGAGTTTCGCTCTCATCGATGCGACCTAGCAATAGACGAAAAAGCAGTTATAGTACCTTAGGTACTCGGGACTATGAACCTAACAAATTAAGACGATAAATATCATATACATTCATGCAACCCCTTTGTTCGGACACCTCTGAATGGTCCGGAGAAGGCTCCTAACCGCTGATAGCAAATTTGAATATAACGCCTCGTGAATGTCATTTGGTAAAGACTATTGGTAGCTTTGTTTGGAGCATTAAGAATCATACTTTGCAGTCACAATCCTTCGAATGTAAGTTGTAGATCATTTTGTGATATTATCAACTTCCCGTGTGTACCTACATAAGGCATGGATGATGGATAATGCAAGGTATATGAAAAAACCTGTCAGCAATATCTGACCAACCAAAAACAAATAACATTTTGATTACAACATATTAGGATTCAAATATTAGTCATGGTTATGGAAAATGTCATAGCTTAAACAGAGTGAACTTGGCGAGATGGTTGCGGGAATTACAAGTTTGTTTTTATTTTGACGATAATTAAGCGTGTGAAGAGACAACTAATACCTCTTTCATAGCCATGGCGTAGTAAATATAGGCAATAGTAGAGTCACTGATTAATATGCGAAAGACTTTCTGATTCTTGTTGCCATCATGTATTGATCTGGCTAGTTATCTTAACACTCTAATCTTGTAAGTAAATCATACTCATGACACCCAGTAGAGTTCTATATACAATAGTTATTGGTAAAAACAAATAGAAACCTAATCTATCCTTTTTCTAAATTTTTTCTCTTTGTATTGTGGGAGGGAATGAGTAAAATATCAAATTTACTCAATCTGGATTCCCTGGTTTGCAACCACCAACTGAGCAAAGCCCTTGATGGTGAGTGACGGTCCCAACAGTTGCTGGAAAGCAATGTCAAGGCCAAGCTCCTTGAAGATCCAGTTCCTCAGCTCGGCACCAATCATACTGTCGATACCGAAGCTGGCGACGGATCGGCCTTCTCCTTCAAAGTCCTCCAAGTCGAGCATGAGAACACGCGAAAGCTTAGCAATGAAGTGTTCCTCGACGGCCGCGACAGCCTCTGCGGGGGTTGCTGCGTTCTTAACTCTGGCTAGGATAGAGTCTGCTCCTCCACCAACGTCACCCTTGCTTCCGGACTCCATTGCGTGTAGCAGAGTGGAGAATCGGGGGTCGACAGCCCAGAAGACATCGACATCACCCTCGGCCTCAGACTTAGCCTTGGCGAGAAGCGATGGGTCAAGTCCGACAACTACGTGGTCGAAGTCAACAGCTTCGGGGTTACCCTGCTCGACGATGGCGACCTCAAAGGAGTCAAGGAGACCATCCTCATCGACACCGTACATACCCTTGCGCTTGAGGGAGTCCTCGAGGGCAGCGTTCTCAGCAACGACACCAACACCGAGAATCATGGGTAGGACAATGGCAGCGGCACGCTTGCCTTGAGTGTGTCGGAGACGGGCAAGAGTATCCATGTAGGCGTTACCGGCAGCATAGTTGCTCTGACCAGGGGTACCTAGGGTGCCGGATACTGAACTGGTCATGATAAAGAAGTCGAGGTCGAGGTCCTTTGTCACCTCGTGCAAGTTGGAGCTTCCAAGAACCTTGGGCTTGACGGAGGTTACCCAGCTGTCGTAGGTCAAGTTGTGGAACATGCCATCCTAAGAGGTAGATATGTTAGTAATGAAGCCTTAAGAGGTAGTAATATGAAGTGACTTACTCGTAACACCATGGCAGCGTTGATGACACCGCGAATCGGGCGGTCGGCAGGAATAGAGCTGACGGCCTTCTCCACGTCTTCCTTGATACTAGCATCGCCCCTGAATACTTGTACGTTGGCGCCGGCGGCTCGGAGGCTGTCAACAAGAGTAGCAGCCTGGCGAGAGTCCGTGCCTGATCGTGACAAGAAGGCAAAGTTCTGTGCGCCTCTCTTCAACATCCACGATGTGAGACTGCGACCTAGACCACCGAGACATCCGACGAGGAGGTAGGTAGCGTCTGATCGGAGGTGAGCATGGGGACGAGATGGCACAAGTTTCAATGTGCCGCTTGAAGGCTCGTTAAGGATGACAGTCTTGGAGCTCTGCAGGTCGTCCGAGAAGGCTGAAATGCTCTCGTTAAGTTCGGTGATGTTCTTGACGGTAATGGGTAGGGCAGAGAGAGATCCCTCACGGAAGAGCTTAATAGTTTGGTCAAGTAGTCCGGCCAACAGGCTTGGCTTCTTGAATAGGTTAATAGTGTCAAATGCGAAGTAGCTTGCACCACGGGTGGCGGGGACGATGTCGAGCACGTTAGAGAAGGCAGCCTCAGCGTTAGCACGGTTCACGAATCGAGAGAATGCGGGCAAGTGCCTCCAAGCTTCTTGGGCGACTGTAGCCTCGACGGAGTCAGATGAGAATACAACGTCAGGCTTGTTCTGCTCTAGCCACGTAGTAGAGAACTCAACAACCTGGCTAGCTGGTAGACCGAGCTGCTTGGTGATGAATTCAGCTTCAGCAGGGCTGCGCGCAGCCACGAAAGGTGTGGCACCAAGAGCCTTGGCAACCTGGACGACCGGTGCAGTAATGAGTCCGGAGCCGGGAAGGACAAGGACTGACTCTCCCTTTTCTACATGTGCGAGGTTTCGGAGGCCATACAAAGCGGCTCCGAAGGAAATGGGGAGACTGGCGAAGGTAGAGAATGATTCGTCGGAGTTGAGCTTCTGGGCCAAGGTCTGGTTGACGCGCTGGAAGGTTGCGAATTCGCTAGAGGTGAAACTGACGACGCGGTCGTTGACAGCGAAATCCTTAACATCGGAGCCGACTCTGGTGACAACACCAGCAATCTCGTGGCTGATGTCGCTAGTGGTCTCAGTTCCCTGGATGACGGCAATGTCTTCCTTGTTTAGGCCGGTGGCCACAACTTGGATTTCGATCTCCTCGGGGCTTAATGCGGCCTCTTCTTCGGACTCAAAGATAACTACACCGCTGCGTACCTTTCCTACGAGTCTCTTCGCAGGGTCAAATGCAGCATCCAAAAGATCTTCCTCGTCATGTGCGTGAATCTCGTTGAGGCGCTCATCCGGAATCAAACGGTTGATGTTGACCTTTCCGTCCGAGACGTAGTATTCGGTCTCAAGGGCTTCGCCATTGATCTGCTTAGTAGCAAGGGAAGTGGTCAAGCTCACAAACTCGGTGAGAGGAACCTCACCCTCAAAGTCCAATAAGGAGGCGTTCAACTTGATCTGCTCAGAGCGAAGAGAGCGGAGAAGACCGCTGGCCATGGCATAGTGAGGGTTCTCACCCTTCAGGATACCACCGCGAGTCACCCACAAGACCTTGGTAGCTTCGGCAAGGATTGCCTGCAAGTCGAGGAACTCCTTCTCGGTGATAGTAGCTAGGAAGGGTCCTTCAAGGTCGGCAAGAATGAGGATAGTAGCTTCGGGAGAAGTTGGGGCACCAAGCTGGATCGATTCGACCACATTGCCCTTGCCCTCGAGGCCTTTGGCCAACTCTGAGAAGGCGGGCGAGATGCTGTTTCGGTAGATGAGTTGCACCTTGTTGGAGGTGGAAGGCTTCGTCTCCTCAGCGGTCGCCTCGTCGGAGCTGGCGGCGGGTACAACCACGGCACCGTTCTCAAGCGTGACCTTTACTGCAGAGAATCCGGCACTCTTCAGGGTTGCCTCGTCTAGAGGAGTTGCTGACTTAATAACAGCTTCACCTCCCTCAGCCAATAATTCGCGAATCTTGGTTAGCGCATCAGCGGATGCGACGTTAGCGACAATAAGGTTGAAAGAGCCCGCGGCGGCAGCCTCGAGCTTCTGGAACTTGACGTTCTTGGAGCTTGCTAGCTCGGGAGGCACAGTGTATTCTTCTTCGGGCACGTCGTAGGTGATAGTAATATCCAAAGCAGGGACAGTCTTCGCAAGAGACTCAGCTTCCGCAGAGTCTAGCGAAGCAACCTTTAGACCGGGCTTCTTGAACTCGGCGAGATCGACGAATTCGGCGACGCTAAGCTTCTGGGTTCCGCTTAGGAAGTCAACATCCGGCTTGGACAGGGTGCGTCCATATGGTTGAGGCTTGGCGGGCTCTTCAGCGAGCTGGGGTCGTGCGGCTTCGTAGCCGATACATTGCATGTTGTTAATTTCTACCAATACTTGACCATCGTTGGTTACCAATTGGTTGTGGGCCTTCACTGAACGAGGACCACGGGTGTCGACCCAGGTAAATGCCTTACCCTTACCATCAGCAAGCTGAGCTTCGGTTGGCTTCCAGATCGCGATCTCCTCTGCCTGAACCGGGACGACACCGAATTTGATGGCGTTAGTGCTACCGCCCCAGAAAGCAATAATGAAGAGTTGGAGGCACAAATCGATCGAAGCTGGGTGGAGAACATAGCGGGACTCGCCGACCATGCTCTCAACAGTGTTCCTGAAAGCAACCGTGGCTTGCGTGGCGTACGACTTGGCATCGAAGGTGACGCTGTCGGTCTCCTGGAAAGCTGGGCCATAGTCGAATCCAACGGCTCTGAGAGCACGGTTCCAAGACTTACCTGTTGCTGATTGGGGCAGGTTGGGAACTGGCCAAGCCTTAGCCCTAGAGTCACGGGCGTTGATGGCGATTCTTCCGCGCATGTGGTTCTTCTGGAAGCCAGCCTCAGTAACTGAGCAGACGTTGAAATCCCACCACTTCTTCTGGTTTTCACCACTGTGGGCTGACGGGCGCATGTTTAGGAAGACCTCGATACCGTTGTCGTCATCAGGGGTGACAAGTGCCTGCTGAATCAACACATCTCGAAGCACGTAGCCCTCGATTTCAGATGGGGTCTCAGATTGCTCATCGAGCTGGGTGATGGCTTCCATAGCCATTGCTAGATAGCCAGCAGCAGGGAACACGGCCTCACCACCCAAGCTGTGGTCCTGAAGCCAAGGTACATCCTTGATGCGGAGAATGTTTCTCCAGGTCGGCTCAGCCGGGGAGTTACCGATGACCAACTCTCCAAGTACATCGTGACGCATGTACTTCTGTCCTCGGTGCTCTCTGCTCTCACGCGATTGGGCAATGAACTTCTTGGACTTGTCCCACTGGTAAGGGGGCAAGTCTACGATGTAGTCTCCGCTGCGGGCGCGGATCTTTCCGCTGGGGCTCATCTCCTCGACCGAAGTGGCTCTCGCCAGGTCAATCGAGTAGTCTGCAAGGAAGAGCTCACCAGCTAGCTTCAAGACGGAGGTGGCACAGTCTTGGCCACGGATCAAGGTAGGTAGATATTGGAATTTCTCAAGCTTGAGCTCGGACTTGATCTGCTTAATAGGACCAGAGAGAGCGGAGTGAGGTCCAACCTCAATTAGAGTAATGTCGGAGAATTCTGGGGTGGTACCAATGGTCTGGACGGCTTGGTTGAATAGAACGGGGTTGAGCAAGTTGGCGCTCCAGTAAGTCTCATCTAGAACGGAGTCCTCGGGAAGGACCTTGTTCGTCACGGACGAAACCATCACTGCCTTCTCAAGCACGGGGCGGTTCTTAGCACGGATATCAATTCCAGAGCCCCGGACGAGTGCCTCATATTTGTCGGCAGCGGGCTGCATGTGGTATGAGTGGTAAGCCTTGCCACCAGTCTTGACCAGCCTGCAGAACACGCCCTTCTCGTTGAAGGTCTCCTGGAGTTTCTTCAGGGACTCAGCGTTACCACTGAGGGTGACACCGGAAGGCGAGTTGTGGCATCCAATGACAACGTCATCGTAACCAGCGAGGTAAGGGGTAACATCCTCAGCACCGAGACCAACGGCAGCCATGGCACCGTTCGTGTTGATGTTTCCAACAACCTTTCCACGGTAGTAAGCCAAGACAATAGCTTCAGTAGCAGTGAGGAAGCCTGCAGCGTAAGCTGCACCAATCTCACCAGATGAGTGACCACAGGTGACGGAGGGCTTAATTCCCCAGAGTCGTAGCAGCTGAACTAGACCAATTTGAACAGCAGTGCATAGGGGCTGAGAGAACTCAGCCTCGCCAACGCGGGAAGTAGCTTCGGGCTCTAGGAGGACGTCTTCAAGAGTCCAGTTGGGGGCATCGGCGAGGTCATCAAGAGCAGCGTCGAGTTGTTGGATGGTCTTGAGGAAGGTAGGGTAGTAAGACATGAGACCAGCACCCATTCTTGCCCATTGGGCGCCCTGTCCGGTGAAAGCGAAACCAATCTTTCGTTCCTTGCCGCTGGGGTTCTTCTTCTCGGCGAATTTCCAGTCTTCTTCGGACTGGAAAGCCTTGCTTAAGGTAGCGAGGCTTGTGACCGCGAAACCCCTGCTAGAGAAGTGAGTGCGGCGGTTGGCCAGAGTGTAGGAGAGATCGATTAGGTCGTAGTCGGCGGCCACCTTTCCGTGAGCCGCGATGTTCCTCTTCAATGCCGACTTGTCGTGGGCAGAGTAGACAAGTAAGTGAGGCCTGTTCTTGTTGAATCGGCCTCTGCCGGACTTCCTCTTGTTCTTCTGCTCCTCAGAGTTGAACTTGTAAGTTTGAGGTTGTGTGAGGAGGGTCCTAGAGCTCTCGACAATGATGTGCGCGTTTGTGCCACCATATCCGAAAGAGTTGACACTGACTCGCTGAACTGGAAGTTCCTTAGGGAATGGCATCGGGTCTGTCACGACCGCGACTTGCTTGCCCGTCCAGTCAATCTTAGGGTTGAGGTCCGTTACTCCTCGTGTGGGGGGAACGATTCCTCGTTCCACGGCTAGGATGGCCTTGATGACAGCAGATAGCCCGCTAGCTGCCTCACTGTGGCCGATGTTAGTCTTAACAGCGCCGATACGTAGAGGACCGTCGGCGGGAGTGCGGTCGTAGTTCATAGCATCAGCGAGAGCGTTGACCTCGATAGGGTCACCGACAGCGGTACCAGTACCGTGGCACTCGAAGTAACCGGTAAGACGAGGGTCAAGGTCACCACCTCGCTTGTAGGCGTGCGTGATGACTGCCCTTTGACCTCCGTAGCCGGCATATGTGATACCGACACCTTCGACTCTGCCGTTGCTGTTGGTGGCGCTGGACCTGATCACACCTCGGATCGCGTCGCCATCCTTAATAGCGTCCGAAAGTCGCTTTAGGAATACGGCACCGACGGCTTCGGCACGACCATAACCGTTTGCGTAACTGTTAAATGTGTGGCAGGTAGAAGTAGGAGACAGCACACCGAGCTTAGCAGTGTTCATGTGCTGGTCCACGGTGAGAACCAAGTTGCTACCACCGACGATAGCTGCGCCGCATTCCTTGCTGCGTAGCGCGTTGCATGCGTTGTGAACTGCATATACAGATGAAGAGCAAGCAGTGTTGACGACGATACTGGGGCCCCTGAGGTTGAAGACGTGGCTGATTCTGTTACTGAGAATACCAGGGTCTACACCTGTTGCCGAAAGACTGTGACGGAAAGAGTGCTCCTTAAATTGCATTTGCTGATAATCTGCCGTGAATGTAGCCATGAAACAGGCAGTGTTGGTACCAGCCAACTTATCCAGGGGAATACCAGAAGACTCGATCGTCTCGTAGACGACCTCCAGACACTTTCGCTGCTGAGGGTCCATCCACATAGCTTCCACCGGGGTGATTCCGAAGAAGCTAGGGTCGAACTCCAGAAGAGATTCGTTAAGGAAATAACCTCCGAGAGCGCTGAAGCTTCCGGGACGGTCATTGTTCTGGTGGTGGTGAGCGCCGATGTTGAATCTCGTAGGTGGGACGGAAGGAGTTTGTCCAGTTTGCTTGTTCATCATCATCTTCCAAAACTCCGCTGGTGATCCGACGTCTCCAGGCAGACGGCAACCTACAACATATGTTAGTGATTTTTTTCCTTTTTGTTTTACTTGTCAAATTAGAAAGGAGACATACCCATTCCAATTACAGCAATGGGCTCCAACTGCTGGCTTAGAGGCGCCTCAGATGATCCTTCAAAGAATCCAGCACCTGCGTATGCCTCGTCGTCGACTATGCCTTGCGCATTGGAGGCTTGGGCGTTGTAGCCGAGCTCAAATTCGAGCTCGACATCCGACGCGCTCGACGAGGAACTTTCTTTGAAGTGAGGCATCTTGATGGTTTGACTGTGGATTTCGTCTTGGGATCAAGGAGTAGTGAATCAAAAGACTTGCTTGCTTAATTCACTGTGAGCACAATGAGACAAGAAACGAGAACAGGACCAGAGGGTTTCCGAGCTTCATATTTAAATATAATCCAAGGCCAGTAAAGAGTCTATCAAGAGTCTATCAACGGCCTCTATCAGCGGTTTGTCCTACGGCCGTGTCCGGTTGGTCCGCCGCGATGCCGAGCAGGGTTCGATACATCCGTTCTCGACCAACGCAAGTAGAAAGTGAGGGTCCACCGCGCATCTTACTGCAGATAGATGATGAAACAATAAACTGCAACATCACCAAAATACCACACAACCCGTATGCAAGGCGTTGGTCCGTTGGCACCGCACGGCCGACGGGGGCGGACGACCAGAACGACCAGATTTACTTATGATAGACCTACAATACAGGATAGTATGTACCTAACAGGATCTCAAACACGGACCATGTTAATCCACTCATCGCGGCAATCATTTGAAGCTAATGCAATAACATGGGGCCTAGTAAATCTATTAACTATTTGCAGTTATACTCTATGAGAGTTGATTCTCGCAAGTTGGTTAATAAGTTGGTTAACTATAGGATTGGTATGATATTATTTCGCCACCCCATTTGTGGCTTATGCGCCTACCAAGACAGATGGGCCTTGGTAGTATATTGTGATAGCCCCCAATTACGAAGTCTTTCCTTTTTCATCATCTTACAACTTACGGGTAACAACAGATATTAAGAAAGGCTTGAACTAGATTCGACTACAACGCCATTCATTTTTTTAATGTATCTTATTCGGGGTGTCTCCTTTTAGATGTGTCTCCTCTTAGATGTGTCTCCTTCTGGATATCCCTTCGTCAAGTACGAACTTCTCTCTGCGTTGCCGCTGGATCTCCGAATAGTATATTGTATATTTGGTCTAGACTTCTAGCTTACGTCTGTGTAGGGATGGCACCCAGCCTCTGAAGAAGTTACGATAGGGTTTCGATGAAATCTCCGATCCCGCAGGTAGAGAGATCGTCGCTAGCGACAGACAAGTACTACCCTTGTATGTACGCGTTAGACCCTTGGCCACCCCTACCAGGGACGCAGAAGAACCGATTGGTCCTGATTTAAAAGAAGATGCTACCCAGGGTTTTGTACGGCTAGCCTCAATGATGCAGGGTTCTCGGGTAGCATATGCATGACAGGATGGCGTGACTTTTCGGGAGAAAGGATAGAGATTCTCGAACTCACGCACGTGATATGTAATATGTAATATGTGATAGATGTATAGATGTATAGATGTATGAGATTAGGTAGGCTGATCTAAGTATGAATGAGCCTTGCGCTGTCTTGTATGACTTTGGTATACTCTTGTTATACTATATGAAATATATCAGAAATAATAAAAGAGGAAACTTTCTTGTGGAGATATTTTAAATTTAGCAAATTATAGCCATGTAAATACCAAAGATACTATTTTAAAGGGAATCTCAAAGTTAGTTTCATCTTCCTTCTCAAGCCTTTCTGGGTAGGTAAGTATAGGTAGGCATAGGTAGGGAACCAAACCAAATCCTCTACACGGCTGGACTGGGTACTTGATTCCTAAGTCGCACTGTTACAACTTTACAACTTATCAGAGCATTACATTAGATAAGTGATTCGGTAGTTTATATTTCAGACGTAAAACATGCGTCAAAGTCATCGTATTGCAATAGTTAAATTAAATATCGCCATAATTATCTTGGGAAGGTTGGTCGTTTCTGATGTTTCTTGTAGATAAGCCTGACCAATCATGAGTCTCCATCGGTCGTCGTGGCCGCACCATATGCGCACAGTATAACCAATGATACCATTTGCCCGGTCGAGACGGCCGCTCCCCATACAAACCAAGCAAATAACCAAATACACAAAAGCAAGAAATAAACCCAATTCTTATTCTACAACGATATCAATCAAATAAAACGAAGCAAAATCTAAAATCTTTTGCCACATGTATAAAATAAATGCCTACCTTAGTTTAAGATTCATAAAGACTCTTCTCACTACTTATCTCCCTTCTTTCTTATTTACTCTTATGATCCGAGGTTATACAAGTATATATTCATAAAGTATTTACTAAGGTACCATTTGGTTTTGTTTACAACTCGAGTTTCTACCTTATACGTTGGGTACCCCCGATGACAATTTTATACTTACTTTTTACAGGTAGCTATTTTTATACCACGACGATGTAGTAAGTAACAACGAAGTCTTTTACTAGCTAAGAGATTCAACTGAGGTGGAGTTAATGAGGCATGCACAATAGATTCCAATAATTCAATTTTAAAGGCCTACAGGCTCCCGTGAAAATCAATCATATAAAATATTAGGTTATCAGGTACCTATCTATCTACCCCCTAGGTAATCTTCAACCAAGGGAGAGAACTCGTCCTCCTATAATAAGCTATGAAAAAATAAACATCCGGCATATAACTATCCACAATTAATTGAATTCAAGCCAGCATTGCTGTGTCTCGTTGGATTACCGATATTCAGGATTATTTGTGCCAGAATTTACCTCTTTTCAAATCTTCGTCGTAACTACCTACCTCTGGATATGTAACGGTGCAATCATACCTGGGTATCTACGCAGTATTGACGATCAGATATGCATCCATACCCGGCCACTTACATATAGGGGTCTTGCTATATCCATAATAAGTCTTACTCTGGAACCACTGAGACCCCAGAGCAAAGAGCTTACGGTGCATGAACGTTCCAGTCACAGATAAGCCCGTAGTTCTTCGCCTAATAGCAAGGTTGCTTTCTCAAATCTCTCCTATCATGACGCCTTCGATATACTATCAAATGAGATAGTAGTATTTTATATTGTATGTGTCGTTTTATAACGACTGCATCGAGACCCCTGTCTCCATTCACGCTTCCTGTACTCGATGGCAACTTGCCCACACAACACGACACGCGCTTAGCAAAATCGTACTGATCGTCAACAAGGTTCCCATTATTTCCCTGCCTCTTGAATTGCCGCCGCCCCATATAATACCGAGCGAAGATAGCTGGAGAGATAGGCATACCCTTGTAAGAACTGGCCTGGTCGAGCATCAACAACCTAGGCCGGATGGAGTATTCAAACTTCACCAGGCTCATGTTAGAACTACCACAGAACTTCAACCCCTCAAAAGCTAGCATGTGTCAAGCGAGTTCGCATCCAGAAACGACCGACAAATTCATCCAGCGTTACACTTTAAATTGCGCTATCAGGTCACTGACGAGAAAATCATGTTGTGCAATAGGAAAAGCCTACGTATCGCCGATGGGAGCAACTCTAGCTGCTGCGGACTTTAAACTATTATCGCCGCTGTCTTAAATTTCATCTATTTATCCGCGACTTCGGACGCAGAAATCGATAACTGCCATGTATGGAAATCATCCATTCTTCTATTGCAGTTTTGCATATTTGGTTCGGTACATGAGAGCAAGCATGGCTCGATGCAACTTATCAAGAAGCAGTAAGACGAGGCAGTTTTAGTTTTAACGTTAAATGCTACACATGTGGTTAAGTATTCTTATGTGCTTGAAGAGACTATAATTGGCTGGATAGGGTGTGCATATTTGATTGGTTAAGATTCTTGCTTGCCCCTTTTAATCATTTTTATCGCCGACCACAGTTGTTGACGAAGCTCCAACATTTCCTATGCGTCAGCCATTATAACCCAGAACTCCTTCTATTCTCATTAGATTTTCCAATGCCCCTGGAAAAAAAAGTTTGTAACGCCCTTTATTTGAATATCATTTTTGCGAACCTCTTCTAACTTCCCTGTCTTGGCCATTATAGAATCCAATTCACCCATTCTGATAGTCCTGCATAATGGTGTTGAAGACATATATTTCAATTCAACTTCTTTATAGCGGTGCAACTTGTATCTCAGGTGACCCAGCTTCTACTCTTCATTCTAGCCCCTGACCCTACGGTTTGTTTAGATTATAGGAGAAATTAATTATGATGGCGGCCGCAGCGAAGTGAAACATATGCGTGTTTACGATTTTCAAAGAAAACTTACGTGCTCGTAATCTTTAAGATTAATATTCCAGCGCTGATTCATTGGTAGAGCGAGCAAAGACTAGCATTCGCAAATACAAACTTATACATAGTTCCATTTCTAAGAGACAGCTTTAATTGGAACTCCGCTCTGAGAACTAGTTATCGATTAATTCTAAGTATAGCTGAAAAGTATTGTCAAGCCAATAATAAAATTTGTCCGGAATCAGCTTTAGCAATTCAAATACTTGAGTAACCTAGTAGTTATTATGTAAAATTCCCCTGCCCTCTTACGCACTAGATTCTTCAAACTTCATATCGGAACTCCCTATTCTGCAAATCTGTTAGGTCTAAAAACTCGTGGTTCTCCTCGGGCCTATAAGTTCCATCAAGTGCCGCTTTTTCCTGTTCTCGCTGCCTATTTCGTCTATCCAATACCCACCGCATCACTACTAGATCAATAGTAATAAGGACGTAGATAATACAAATTGAAATCTTAGCTGGGAGGTAGCGTGGCGCGTCCCGAGCTTGGAAGGTTTGTGGTGAGATGATATTGCCAACGGTGTAAGCGATCGTTCCTATGCAAGCGACCGTAATTTTCTTCGTTGATCCTGCTACGTTCGAGCTCTGAAGCCCAAGAATCGTAGTCCAACCAATTGGAATACCACCGCTCGTATAGTAGCCGATCAAAGCAGGCACCCGTTCAGTCGTGGCCATCAGAATGGCACCAACTATCGCAGGGATGTGGCCAGCAATACAAAAGTACAGCCTCTGCCTCATCTTCATCGCGCCATATGTAAGGCCTATTAACGCTACCACCTCCCAAGCGCCCAATGGAGTTACTAATAGCAAAGATTCTTCGCTGGAGTAGCCCATACCCTTTACCAAAATATTCCCGAAGGAGGTTGCGATTGAATTGGGAATATTGGCCGCAAAAATCCAAAATGCATACAGCCAAGTCATCGTGTCAGTTAACGCTTCTTTTACCTGGTCCCATTTGAAAGTTTGCGACCCGATACCCTGTTCATTATGCCTAATGCGTTCGAGGTGCAGTCCCTTTTGCTCCTTGTCGAGGAATCCCGCAACGGCGGGGGAATCTGGCATAACGAACCAAAACGCAATTCCCATGGCTGCGGTGAATAGACCCAGAAACAGAAAGATGATTTGCCAGCCCTTTAAGGCTGCGTTTGGGTCTTTTCCTACATGTGTGGCCACGCCATACGCGAAAAATCCCCCAAACATCTGCGCTGCTCCGCACATGGAGAACCATATACCCACACGAAAGGCCTGTTCCTCCTTCGTGTACCATTGAGAGGTGAATAACACCCACGCTGGCACTACAGCTGCCTCTAGAACTCCGAGAAAAAAACGGCACACCAATAACCCGGCATAGTTCTTGCAAGCTGCAAGGCAAGCGAGAGTGGCACCCCAAAGAGTAACATTAATTGAAGTGTACTTAGCAAGAGGGAATAATTGTATTAAACGAATCGTCGGGAACTCAAAGGCGAGCTGGCCGAAGAAGAAGATGGATGCTACCCAGTTAAACTCATTCCCTTTGAGTCCAATAGATTCTGTTATACCGGTAACGCTGGCATAGGAAATGGCAGTCTTATCGATATACTGAAGGAAGTCTGCTATACGTCAGTAGAGAAAAGAGTACAAACGATAGTGATCGCAGTCACATACAGACTATACAAATTAGTGGCATGACATGCCAGTCGATACGCCTAACGAGTCTCCGGTGGACTTCGGGATCAATAGCCTGATGCAGGCCGCCGGTTTCCTTCAGAAGTTCCAGAGCTGCATCAGCGCCAGACTTGGAAGTTTTATGCACGTCGACCGAAGCAGACTTTGCCGCATGCTGCTCTGGACTCCATTTGGCTTGAGCCGGCGCCGGGACATCTTTATCTTTTTCGTGTGAATCAACCATCTCAGCCGTAAGCACAATCAGATCTTGGCGGTAAGTTTGGGATTGTGAGAGATTAAAAACTTAATACACCCAAAGAAATGAAAATTTTGAAAACACGACTGGGCTAAATCAAAGACGCGCGACGGCTTCATGGCAAGGTGAAAGGGTTCAGCTCGGTAAACGTTACCATGATAAGAGAGATTGCCCAATGAAATGGCATGATTCTCTAAGCACGTCATCTGAGGGCTGATGATGCCACGAGGCTGCCAAGGATCCTAAGTAGCCAATTTGTTAATCGCGATGAGCTAGTTATTTAACGACAGAGTCCAGAATATCATCATAGTATTAGTAGTTGGGGTTTACAAAAACGGCTTCATGTACATGTCTACAACGACTTTATAGACTTGTCGGTATATTACTAGCATTAGACTTCTAGGAACTTCTTGTTTACCCATCAGTCTAGCATGTCTCTTCGGCATGATGGGCATGCTTATCCCATACGACTTTCTCAAGACTTCCGCAGAGATCAGCTGCGTCTCAGCTAACCTAGCCTCTTAAATTCTGCACACTGTTAATGCCACTAAGTTCTAGCCCGGAGAACTCTAAGAGATATAATATTTACAAAATTGTAGTATCGTTATAAGGTACTTAGCTTAACAACTTGAACGAATTATCAATATGTTTTGATCTAAAATCAGTATTGTATCGAGAACTAACAACATAAGACTAACCACTAACAAGCAACAGGGAGACTTCCACATAAGCTGTACCACTACCTTGGTCTTTAACCTAACATCACTCTTTAGGAAACCTCCCTGAAATAATCGTAACTTCTATACGTTATTCATGCCCAACCAAGTCTTAATATGTGCTATGCGCCGCCCAACGAAGATACATCACTGATCGATTTCTGACGAGCGTGGATGTCGCTGGAAGACACTATGAAGTACTTGGCCAAAGAGAGGGTATCATTAATCGTCTTAATCATGTAATTAGGTTCCTATTTCGATTCTTGATGAATAATACTTAGGTTTAACCGTATATAAATGTGCCTAGACCTCTTCGTTAGGAACTGACAATGTGTATAACCCAAAAGAATAGATTTTGGCTTTCAATAACGCCTCCTATCAACCCCCGAAGATAAGTTGGAAGCATCAAAGAACTTCAAGATGGTTGTTAATAAAATCCTCATATTCAAGAAAATCCCGGATGAGCTACCGGTATCTGGGGTTCACTTCGCAGTTGAGAACCGGCCATTCGATCTCGATACCGTGCCAGGAGGCGGTACTATAGTTGAAGTATTGTCTGTGTCACTGGATCCGTACTTGAGAACCCGTATGCGCGACACCAACGTCCCTATGTTCAGTGACCACTATATCATAGGTGAAGCCATGCCGAATATTGCTATTAGCAATATCATAAGGCCGGGTAACGGCTGATTCTTTCCTAGCGATGCCATCTACATGGAGCTGCCCTTTACACAATATGCTTCTCTCACCACTAAGGAACTCTTAGGAGCTATCAAGATTGATAATCCTTATGATTTAGACGGTATGATATATGAAAGCTTACCTCCTTTACTCAAACTTATTTGAGGAACCAACTCTCTCTTAATCGAGCCTTTCTCGGGGCTTTTAAGAGAAGAGTTACTAACGTCCATCATTTGTAGTAAACTACTTCACCGGTCCGCTTGGCGGGGCTGGGCTGACAACCTTTTTATAACTGTACAAAATCGGCCAGCCCAAGAAGGGCGAGATCATCTTCGTTAGTTCCGCCGCCAGTGCCGTCGGCTCCGTGGTCGGGCAGTTGGCTAAGCACACCCGTATGAGAGGTCATGTGGTAGTGTGCGGCGGGATTGAGAGGTACAACACCCCGTTCGAGGAACGCTATGGTGTGAAGAACCTGATTGAGATATTCTCCAAGCGGTTGACCTTGACTGGGTTCGTTGTAACCTTACCGATGAAGATTCCGGCCCGGCGTACTTCCAGCAACATCAGGAGACCCTGCAGAAGCGGATTGCGGAGGGTAGCTTCAAAGTCAAGCTACACATCACCCACGGTATCGACAACGCACCTGAAGGCTTCGGAGAGATGTATCAGGGCAAGAACTTCGGCAAAGCCCCAGTCAAGATCAAGGAGTTGACTCTACCTTAACTCTTGGTTTGTGGTTCGTACCTAGGTAAGAACGTGGATATGTGCTTTGATTAAGGGGGATGGATGGCTTTGCAGCACACTGCCGGGTCGATAGTAGTGATTCCCGTCAACACTCTTAACTTAATGCCTCGGTCTAATACAATCATTACAGTGTCAACTAAGAATTATGTCGTAAACTCCGCTATTTACTTTTCACACTGGCTTCATAGCACAGCCCATAACCCGTGAAAGTAGCTGGATGTTCTAACGACGCCATACCTACTATTTCCCTTACTTCGCCCCCAACGCGCATTAAAGAGGAAGGCCCAAGGGTACCTAAATCACATGGTAGATATATTACAATAACAACAACTACTAGGTAGCATATGGACTTCCATGTATCGTAGAATAGGTATAAAACACATGTCAAGCAGCCACCCGAGCTTAGAATCCCAGACACGTCATCGGCTATGAGCCCCGAATTCTGGCTCCAGGCCAGGGGCTTAGGTTTTACCTGTTCCCCTGTTTGTATCACTCCGCGCTTGCTTGATACAGTATAGGGCCCGTCGGCCAAAGCCACACACCCTACGCGTTGCTGTCCCGCCTGTGCAGCGCGGAGCGAATTACGGCTTCTGCATAAACCCGTGCCGTGTGAGCAGATGGCGTAGGAAACCGTTGACTTATAGTATTACTTGTGATATAGCGGGAAATAAAATAACGAGTGACAATTATGTACCTAGTAGCTACTTAGTTTTCTATCAAGACAACTTAGCCAAGATATGCACAAATAGAGGTACATAAACTAAACAAGCCTAAGACTGGATAGGTACTTAGGTATACAAGGCTGGTATAGGTTTCTCAGATGATTCTGGGTTTCTCCATCTCGATTACTTCGGTACAACGCATATTGCAACTTTGGTACCTACTGAACTTCAACCACACATACAACAACACTCAACTTTACTAAGGTATTTAGTCATGAAAATCATTTCCCATCCTTATCGAACTTAGATGTAACTCCACTGCTATTGTCCATCTCAAGGTATACCCCCCCTAAGAAAGGAAATATGACACAAAGACTAAGGTGCTGCCAATAGAGGCTAAACTGATCGACTCATTTTGCCTCGAGAGGATATAGCCGTAACCTCAAACTCAAGATGAAAACTATCACTTGCAGCTTTACGCCACCCATTAAATCTGTTCCCCTTGTACCATAACGCCAAACATCAAAATCCGGTTCTAAAACATAACTGGCTTAGGTGGTGGTATAGTCGAATCGTATCAGTACAACGATGGAGGTGACTCAGTTTTCTAGATCTGTAGAGTAAAAAGCGTCTGTGGATTAAGGTCATTCGGGCTCTCCAGAGTAGATTCGTCGACCTGAAGTATGGACAGCCGAAAAGAATTAAATAATACAAAGAGAATTAAAGTAACGTCGAGACCGTTGCAATGATGAATTATATTATGTAAAGATTGTTATGGTCCGAACTGCAAATTATCCTCACACACTTCCGGGGATGGTAGGGTAAACTGCATTCATGTTAACGTCTGCAATACATAGAAATAGGGGGAAAATAGGAATAAAAACTTACACCATGCGCATGTAGCAATAATCGCATACAGGCATATCAAAATGAGACCCTCAAGCCAATGACTCTTTCCATCACCGATTAAATAGTTGACTAAGAGGACGGAAACGAAAAGAACAATGACCTGGAATGTATCGAAAGCGAGGGTCATCTCCTGGTTACCCATACCCCAACCGATGATAATAAGGAGTGGGATGAGAAGAAGAGCGACCTGCATAGACGATCCAATAGCGACACCAATAGCGAGATCCATCTTGTCCTTAATGGCGACAGTAACGGCAGTTGCGTGCTCGCAGGCATTGCCGACGATCGGGAGGAGAATAAGACCAACGAATTCCTCACTGACGGCACCCGTAGAAGTAATGGCCTCGATACCACCAACCATACCCTCCGCGCAGAGCGCAATGATAACCGTAGCACCGATGAGGGTAGCAAAAGCGACAGCAAAACTAAGCTGAGGTCCTTCTTCCTCATCGTCGTCCACGTGTCCAAGAGGGTTCATCATTATCTCGCTAAGCTTGCCCTCCTCGTCGTGAACACCGGCGTGGGTAGCTCCAGCACCTGCTCTCGCAATACCAGAAGCAACGGCACCATCTGGGAGAGCCTTCTTAAAGATCGGCTTGCTTGCAACTTTCTGGCTTTCCTCGTTAAACAAGGTTACGTGAGTCTTCATCTGGAAGAAAAGATACGAGGCGTATACGATTAGTAGGATTAGGGCGACACCGTGAGATAAGCTCGGGACAGCGTTGGGGCTTAGCTGGATAGAACCCTCGTTCAAATCGTCGGTATGTGCGAAAACGGTGGGTACGATGAGACTTCCTACGGCCAGAGCCAGTAGACTGGCAGCAGTCTGGGCCACAGTGGTATTGAAGTATTGCTCTCGACGATTAATGCCACCGCAGAAGAAGCAGAAGCCTAGGACGAGAAGTAGATTGGATAAAATACTTCCGACTAGAGACGTCTGTACAACCTTGATCTGATTCTTTGTGAGGGCGATGATGGCCACGATCAGCTCAACAGCGTTACTTATTCAAATTAGCATATTTCAAAAACATTTTCTATCAGACATGTAAACTCACCCAAAAGACGCATTTATTAGTCCTCCAAGAACTTCTCCAGTTCGCATCGCAATCTCTTCAGTAGCATTGCTTAGCATCGCGGCGAGAGGTACGATAGCGACGAAGTTGACACCGAATACAACTCTACCGTCAAAGTTGAGAAAGTGTAGAGCAATACCCGCAGGCGCGGCGAGTACGAGGATGTTGATCGGGGAACCAAAAAATACGCGCTGGATTTGATTCCGGACGGTAAACGGCTCTGCAGGTTCGACATGCTTGAAGAAACCGCCGGTGTTTGTCTTCTTGGGCTTCTCGTCCTCTTCAAAAATTTCGGGCTTGGTTGGGGTATTTTCCTGGGCACCACGATGTCGCACACTATTGCTATCAACGTCGTTTCCAACAGTGGTCGCCTGTGATACAAATGTGTCGCCCTGATCCGCATGGTCGACCACGTGGCTACCTTCTAGCTCCTTACTATTCCGTGCCGACTGGTTGACGGGCGTCAGAAGACGACCTGGTGCGCTTGTAGATGGACCCAGGTGCGCTGTATCGCTGTCGCCGGTTGATATTCCTCGCTCAGCTGCATCTATCGTACTTGATCGCTTCGGCGCTCCATAGGCAATGTGTCTAAACGGGTTAAAGCGAGCACTGCCGCCGGAATCGCGCCGACTCATACGGTGGGCCTTGGCCTTGATTTTTCTCATATTCACTGTATTCCAATCCATGAAGTAAGTATTCATCCAATAATACGGGGTCAGTTTTAATATTAGTTGGCTTTGCTGGCTTGGCTGGCTGGCTTTGCGGTACTGCGCAAGCAAAGGTTAAAGAAAAAGCAAAAATGGGATAAAAATGAAGCTTATGTAGCTATTGAAGACAAAACCAATGCCTTTATGCTAACAGCTTATTCTTGGTGTTGTTTTTGGCGAGAAACGTGGCAGAGCAAGCTAAGAATGGATTCGAGATAATAATGTAAGCCGTACAAATAGGCAGGTCGAATTTATAATAGATAGAATGTGAAGCATGCTTGACGCTAAAATTGTAGCATAGAAATCCTGACGGAAGAGTGATAAGTTCGTCACTGGATGAATATTTGGTGACGATGATGGAATAGGAGTAAACCATAATATCCGTGATTATCGAGTCACCACCTTCATCTATCAATAATAATAAACGAGGTTTAGACAATCAATTGCTTTGTGACTCCGCAAGTAATTTGTGTCTTTATCTTTTTGATCCTATCGCCCTGCTCTGCCGCGTTCTTTGTCCACGCCTAAATTGGAAGGCGTACGGGTCTGGGGGGTTTTTTTTTTGGGTTTCAATTCCCAACGCAACAAAGATTAACTTACATTCGTCGCCCATCTTGAAGAGGCTCTCTTGATGTCGGCTTCAGCCTTCTTGAAATATGGGTACTCGCGGTAGGCAGGCTCTACGGCTGCCTTGTAAAGACGATTGGGGGCCGTTTATGGGGTTTGGTAGACGTATCTCGGCAATCGGCTCGCCTTTTTATCAATTTGGAAAGGTACGCCTTCGACCGTGTAATTCTGTGGCCTTTGCTATTGGATGTGTCCCTTTAGTACCTAGGCAAGCTCTATAATCGAGTCTTTTTGATAGATCTAGAGTAATCCGGGGAAATCGTATCAAGAGGAATTTCTTGGTGGCGTCTAATATTTATTGTTATTTTTGTTAGACCGCAAGATGGCGCCGAGGATACCAGAATACAGAATAGAAATAAAAGAGTTAAATATGGTTATAACTTAATGGAGAACGAGTGTTAAGAAGACCAAAATATCGCGTCTGTCGTCGCTGAGGGAACCGTTGATGGCAAGGCAGACTTAATAATGGCTTAAACAACTGGAAAAACCAAAAGAGGCTTTGGAATATTGAATCGAGGGCACGATCAAATCTTGTAAATGAAATAAATCCCTTTATTCAAGTTGGTATTAATGTTAGGGGGTACAAGATGTAGGTACAGACAGGGTTGAAATTAATATCCCGGTATATTATGTATCTAAGATACCTACAAGGTACACGTATGTAGATATTGGTGCATTAGGTTCTTTCTCCACAGCAAGGCGGTACATACACTATGTACATACACTATGTATTCGTGTACGTGTACGGATCCATACATGTACCTAACTTAAATGTTCTAATCAGTTTACGCACCGTACATACCTATCTAACGTACCTTCTATGTATCTAAGTATATATATATATTTAAGGTATGCATATATCGTGCATGTAGGCTGTACAACCTAAGGCGAATTGAAGGACGATATAAATTCCGGGAGGCCTCAGTTGCATCGTAGAAGCGCTGGGTGTTACGTAGGTGTGTACAAATTACATATAGGATTCTATTTTATATTCGCTCTTTAATTCAATTGGATTTTATGCTATGTAACTATACTAACTAAGTCTTGCTAGTTTACATATTTGATATTATGTAGGTATGAGGTACCTAATCCATATTTATCAAGGTGCAGTCTCAGTTTCAAAATCAAGCTCATGAAGGAATGGCCCTTAGGAATCAAGCTTTAAGGTCTAGCGGTTCCACAAACCATGGCGCCAATGTGTTATGTTTGGTACATGTACCTAGCAAGGGTATTCATGTACTCTGTGTATTTTTGTTGAAGCTGTATTTAGATGTTTTACATTCCTGTTTTTGTCAATTCTTAAATTTCCGCTGCAGATACCTTAAGTTAGGTAGGTACACAAAAGCGACGACAAAGCAATTCGCAAAACAAATGCGTAATTCGCAAATAACTCTCACATGGAAACATCTGACAAACTACTTCTAGAATCTTGATTCCCCGTCCGAAACATGGTATCCATACGTGGCAGTCGGCCAACTTCTTCTTCTCAAGGTTTTCAACTGTTTCACAAGCTTTCCCAGATATAGCTTGTCTTTGACGTGGGTGGCCATAATTCTAACACGTCCTTTCACGTCCTTTTACGTCCCGGCCGACGCATAATGACGCTAAGCGGCAAGAGCCTAAAATCGCCAACGCTAAAAAAAAAGAGCTTTGGTCAATTTGAGGTCATCAACTTTTATATCTAATCTATGAAACTAAACTATCAAACTATCAAGCATCATTAGCAAGCATCATCAGCAAGCATCATCACTATCATCTCCTCCAAGGACCCAAAATTATATGACACATCCCAATCGATAAATTCACTAGGAATATCGCTCCACGTCCCTCGCATAAAAAACCTCCGGCTGTAAATATTGAGATATTAATTCCTCCAATCTACGGTGAATTATCGAACTTAACCCCTGATTAGCGTTTAGGCCATGCGCACGAGTCAGCTTATTGCAACCAAACAGATCTAGAGCGTAGGTAGATATTGGGCACTTTAGGCTTACGCTGCTATACTTATTATATGGGGTGCGTAGTAGTTGGGTGAATAGGTAGGTACCTAGGCTTCTTATTAGTGAGAAAGGTAGCCATGTAGAAACCGCCCGTACATACGTAGTAAAATAAGTGAAGTAACTACAAAATAACCTTAGGACAAAATGGAGAGCGTAACCTCAATAATTGTCTGTCGATGATATGTTACATTTCCAAGAGGATCAGATGTGTTACCCTCAAAACCTGATATAAAAAGTCCCTTCCACCCTCAAAACTTATTTCCAACAATATATCGGATATGCCCATCTCCCCACGCTCCGTAAAAATCCAAGTAAAAAAGCCTGCCCAACATCCATTCACTACGCATATATGGGATGCACCGCAGTGCAGCTTTGTAAGGGTGCCTGATATTGTCCTCGTGCCACCCATGTGTTTTAAACGTACATAATGCATCCGGAAGAACCCAAGAGGACCTGGTGCCTTACATACGAACAGGGCGAAGCCAGTTGCAGTACCTTTCTAGGGGATAGCGAATTAACAACTAACATGAGGCGGTGCCGTGAAAAGAAAGCACCAGTCCCAACCAAAGATCCTATTACTGCGCCAATTCGTTTTCGGAGAACTGGCCTGTCGTGGTCAACTTCTCACCGCTTATCAATTCCTACAGCTATTCCAGAAGCTTAGTCCTGCATATACGCGTGTAAGCATATAGCAAGGTTATAATTGTTCCTATTGATTACAAAAGAGGCCAAACAAGGGAGGAGGTATTACATTATGTGATATAAGCACCCGTTTTCTGGCGTGAGACACTGCCATTTCGTGATGGAATGGTATATAGGTCTGAATGATTAATATCTCAACAAGCCTCCGGGAGGTAACCAAATTCTTCTAGATATCTCAAGCAAAATTGGACAGGAGACCTTTCCCCTTTTTTTGTGCCTAGCCTACCGATAAAGGGGCGTTGGATCGCAAGACTAACAACTACTTAGGCTGTGATTTCTTAATACTGAATACTTCCTCGCCTAAAGAGCAGCGAGCCTGCCAGGTTAGGCGCCGGCCTGGGGTTAGCAACGGTACCTAACTCTGCATTGCCCCCAAGAACGAGGGTTGGGATATTCGCATCGGGTACGTTATCGGGTCCGAGTGATGCTCCGACCATAGGTGTACCAGTCACTCCCCTCTCCAGCGTTTCTTTGTAGAACCCATCAAGCGCATTTGAATCGTTACAGAACGCTTCAAGTTTGTCCTTTAGGGCCTCGGGCTCCCCAAGACCATAGCTGGCTGGGTCCTTAGGACCGCTTGTCACGGTATTTAATGGCTCAGGCGGTGCTCGAGGCGCAAAGAGTGCGGGCCTGAACATTGGCGATGCAATGGGCGTGGGCTCGACCAAACCATAATTTGTGTATGCGCTCGCACTCGCAAGGCGAGAAATGCGGTCGTTTGGCGCTGCCTCGGGTCGCGCTTGGGTGGGTTGAGAAACTGCTGCCCGATTGCAGCATAGCCTGTTTGCTAGAATCAAAAAATCACCCTCGTCGGTGATCTGTACTAATGTCATGCCTGAGCGATGGATATATTGGGAATACTTAAAATCAGGCTTGCCCCAAGAATAGCTAACATCTACGTTGCTTGGAAAATTGGAGGCGGCCTCAACGTCGAGGACATAGTCAAACTTTCGCAGCAAAGCCTTTTGATAGTAGAACTTGCCTGGCTGTGTTTGCGGTCCGAAAGAGTTAGGGTCGTAGTATGTTATGGGACGCTGGATGGGAGGCGGCAGCGTAAGCTTGATACGGTAAGGTCTCCGGAATGGGTTGACTTCTGTGATACGACATGCCTCTGCAATCGGTACCTCAATAAGGCGGAGGCCGTGCTGCGCTGCAATGGCAGCCCAAGACTTGAGTGCGTCTTCGATGAGCTTCGCCGTGACATTCATCCAATCGATACGAATGTGGTAGCAATTATCGGGATTGTGGAGTCTATCATAATGCAGATTGATCCTCTCAGGGCGGTAAGATTTTTTCCGATGATCAACGTCGTATTTCATCATTTTGCTGAGAATAACCTTAGGCCTCTTCCCACCCGCCGTCCCTAAAGTAGGTGTTGTACTACCCGAGACCGGTGAGTTTTCTTCATGGATTGATAATGGTCTTGGTATTGCTACTTGATTGGGTCGAGGCGAGTCCTTCGGGGGATTCTCCGACAGAGGCGTAGAGGGAACAGATACATCTCGTCTCCTCGCGTTAAACCAACCCTGTGGATGAGGTTTCGCATATTCGCTTGCGATCTGATAAAAGAACTGGCCGTCACGGAAGGGGTGCCTCCTCTCGACGTGGATGAAAATCCCGCGGTCACGATCCTTCTTTGCGTCTCTACTAGCATCCCTATCTCTATCTCTAGACTTATCGTCCTCAAGGACCATTAGAGAATTCCCAAGCTCAACCGCCTCTTCTCGACTATCAAGATCTTCGAAATTATCAAGCAGCCAGGTCGTCATATCTGATCCAATAAAACAGTAATAGTGGATCCGAAAATGCCATCGTCGTGTTTGCATTCGAATTCCACCTAGTTCGACCGGCTGTTGGATTGCTTCGGCTAAGGTAGCGACGTTGAAATTGGATTTTGAAAAGCGTTCTTTGTTAGACACTAAGCCCTTACGGTTCATCGACTCGATATTCTCGAACAGTGGCAACGTCTCCACCTCAGCAGCAATTACTACGGAAGGGTCTTCAGTCTTGTAGACAATATCGAGAGGGTTAGGATCTCGCTTCCTCGCGCCGGAACTTTGAAATTGGCGTTCCGAAGGTGATAAGAACCGATGCCGTTGCCAGAGTTGAGCTAGTCTTTTAATGCCCTCCAGGCGTACTTCCTCCTCGTCATCTTCATTTCGTGCTACTGGAGCCGAGGATGTTCGGGGATACATTGGTATCAGCACGAAACGAGCCCGCCAAAATCTGAGGTTTTCCGTCATTTCGTCCGTGTGCCCGGCAAGATAAGAATCTATATAATTCCAATTGCGCTCGGGTTTCGGGGTCATAATATCAACATTGACGGTATGGTATGTGTCGTCAAGTAGGGTCTGAATAGCGGGTCTATATAGGGACGGCTGGTCAATTTGCGACAGTGACTCGGTCGGTTTCCGCACGTAGATGTTAACTTCAACCTCGGTGCCGTTAACACACGAAAGTTGATGGATCGTGTTCCCGATACTCATGAAGATACTTGTCCCGTCGCAGACAGTTTTGTCTATCGAGAAGACGTCCGCTATTCTCACGGCCTTTTGATCAAACGCCTTAGCTACCGATGGTCCGATCACTACTTGAAACCCATGCGCAAAACGGGCACTAACGAGTTCTCGTAAAAATTCTACACGTGACCTAGGCTGATCCGTAGCTTCATCTTCTACTTCTTGGGAGATGTTGTAGGGCTGTCGCTGGTATTCGGTATTGAACTGTGCTTGCGTTGGGAAGTATTCTGTAGTCAAAGGGACGGCCGCGGGGTATGATAAGGACTTCCATTTCATAACTTTCATCTCCGATGGCCGTGGGAACACATGCTGCCACCGGCTAAACAAAATCGAATCGTCGACCTTGTTCACATTCGGGTTCGATGGGTTAAGAACAACTAACCATGGTGCCATAGCAGTAGTGGGCGAGAGCGTAGAGGGTAATTCCGGTACACCTCCCGCTCGTAACTTTGAATTATACAGCTTTTTCTGGTCCTCCTCTCTAAGAGCGTTTGAATATCTTAAGTCTCGATCATCAGGTCGTGCGCTTCTAGCAACAGGTGTAGCTGGTATCTGGCCAGACCTTAGTGTACTGATGGGATCAAGTGTTTGCATAGGATTTCTAATTTGGATAGGGCGGCTTGGTGTTGCTTGCGTAAAGTCCATCGTAGATTCCGATTGATCAATGGTCTGTAGGATACTCCCGGTACTTGCTGTCTTCGAAGAGCTTGGCCGTACTGTAGATTTAATAGGTGTCATGGGGGTTATTCTGGGGGTTACTTTAGGGGTTGAAGGGGTTTGGAGTCCGGAGCCGGGAGCTTCCGTTCTAGTAACGTTCTCCGTTCTTAACTCAGCTGTAGCTAGTTTGGGAGCTGCGATACCAAATCCGCGCTGACCAAGACTGATCTGTCTCATGAACTTTGGCGGTCGTGGTGGTGCTGGCTTAGGTTGAGCCGTGGAGTTACGCCGGGAAACATTAGTAGATACAAAACCCCCCAATCCAATCTTGTTCGATGATGCCACACTTGAAGAAAGCCCGGTCGACGACCCAGCTATTCTACTCTCTCCCACCGAAGTACCGAATAGGTTGACATCTTCCATTAACCTACCTGTGCTTTCTTCGAGTTCTCGATAGGGATGGTTCGGGGGCAAAGGCCGATGAGCTGGAAGCCGAGCTCTGGCTTCGTCGAAATTTTGTAGGTGCTTCCATAATAATGTTTCTCCAGCCTTTGTCAACTTGTCCGGGATGAATTTGAGGAAACCATAGACGGGCTCAAATAATGTTTCGGGTACCTTCCGATTCCCTATAGACGTCGATATATGACTGTCGCTACTTAAAAGTCTTTTTTCGCTTTCGAACTTGCCGATCGTGCTTGGATAGGCAGAATCAGCGTGTAACGGTATAGTCTCGATCTCGTTAGTCTCAAGCACGCTCCTCATCTGGAGGTCGTAGAGTCTACATCGAATCGTAAAATCATCTTGGCAGTCACTAGGGGACTGACTCGAGGCAGATAGGGTGATACCTTGAAAGGATAAAGTCTCTTCCGACTTGCCAGTCCAGTAGGAGATGTGTAGCCATTGGGGCACTGCAAAGGCCCACTCATCAGTATACAGCGTAGAGCTTGCCGAATCAACGCGGCTGGCCAAGTCAGCTGCCTTTGTGGGAGATACGGATTCGCTTAAAGTCGTATAGCTACTGGCCAGAAGCGTAGGCTGCTTCGGCGTGCTCCCGGGACTCCTGACCGGCCGGGGTTGCGATCTTTGGTGCACCTCGAGGAAATGGGGATTTCGATAACGAAACAAAGGGACGGAATGCAGTGGTATGTTCGGAATACATATTAGGTCGATGCCAATTCCATTGCCAACCAGGGCTTCTGTCGTCCGACGCAAGGATTCGTATTCGACTTCGAAGACACCCGAACCTGGACTGATGACCACTATAGAAATGCCAGTCCGCAGAAGGTCCCGATCTATATAATCATGTGCATACAAAGAAGACGCCAAGTTGATGGCTTCGAGAAAATTCCCGTACATAGCTAGAGAGGACACCGCTTTAATCTTACTAGAGGAAGTGCCCTTCACCGAGGAATCCTCGGGGATATCCATGTCGTGGCCCATGGCATCTCGGTGATGAAGACTAATATCACGACGGAAGACGTTAAACTCCATCTTCAGTTGGTGTAATATTTTAGTCCATTCGCCACTAGACATCTCGCTCACGACAACACGGTAGAAATCCTTAAATGGACGCCTCTCTCCGGACGTCTGAAACCCAGTATAATAATCATTGTCAAGAGCCGAGTTTGCAAACTCGGTCGTCAATCCAGTGTCATACTCGACCCTCGCAAAAAGTACAATACTGACAAGGTGCTTTACTTGCATCAAGGCCCATTTCTTGAAGAGAGCTGGCAAGAATCCGTTTACGACCTTGTAGAACATGATCTCACCTGAACCGTCAGAGTCAAAGTCCCACATTTCTCGTGCCATTTGTATGAATAACACGTATCTGGCGCATTCGCTACGGAAGATTGGGCGAGTGTTACGGCTGAAAAAGGCAGAGTGGACCTTACGGCCTTCGACGAAGACGGTACTGACGGTGGCCTTAATAGTCCCCAGGAAGTATACTACTTGGCCTTTATATACGGTCCGATCTGTTAAATCGGCGACTGCAAGTCTCCACATATCTGCACGGGACATGTACATATCTTTAAAGGTGAGCTCAACGTGAGAGGCTTCGACGGCAGGGGAAAGGCTGTCGACCGGGGCGAGTACTACTTGGGTTCCCTTTTTCATATTGAAGGCGACACCAATTTGTTTCGAGACGTACACCTCTATATTAGGATGCCTAGCCTTCAGCTCCTTGGGCACGTCCTTTGCGACAAAGACATATCTTCGGCCAGCATCAATCTCGGACTTGGGAACGTCATCGCTTGGGGTAGCCGCTGTGAATGCTCGGTGATAAGACGGCTGCCTCGATGTACTATATTGAGACCCCTGCATCCTATCCTGGTCGGATTTTATAGGAGCGATGGACATCAAAGCTCCGGACTGCACAGCTCCTCCAAACAGGTCAAGGTTCAGGAGGACCTCATCACTAATAATAGATTCATTGATAGTGACACAACAGATTCGTTCATTTATTCGCTTGGAATGCGACTGTTCTCGAGGGGTGGAACGAATAGAGACATTATCTGGGGATAGGGGGGAGTCGGTCGAAGTCCTGTCGAAGCTGGACTTGCTGAACTGTCGCAAATGAGAAGTCCATTGTGTAGCTCGACGTGGCGCCGAGGGCGAAGGAGCGGCATTCCGAGACATTGTGCCTCTATTATCCAATATCAAATATATCAAAACGCATCATTACGGAAAAACGAGTTTGTGAGGCCCTTGTAAGATATTACAACGAGGTCGCAGAAAATGATGATAGTTTTACAAGTGGAGGTTTGCATTTAGGAAATAGGTACGTTAGAAAACTTAAAGCTGCCCCCCGCAGAATAATGTCGGCAGTATTGGCGGCTTCCCTAAAATAATCTGACCGCTTTCCTTTGTGAGAACAAAACAGTACGTACCTAGGTATCTAGGTACCTAAGTAGAAGTATGTACCTCTATTTTCTAGGAACATGGAATTTTCACTCTTTACTCCACCTTAACATCCCCATATCATCCAGTTCAACACTTGCATTATTCCACAAGGCAGCTTAGAAATACTTCATGGTCATATAATATATATATAATATATATTACCTAGCTACGTTAGGTACCTCCTAAGCTACTTTTCTAAGACATAACAAGGTCATCAAGAGGGCAATCCCGTTCAACAACCTGGCTCTTCATCTTATCCATCACCACTTTCCAGGTCAAATCCATTAACCTATCCGCGAGTGCATCGTCCTGCGCCAACTTACTTCCCGGCTCCGGCACAGCTGGTGGGCAAATGTATTGGCCCGAGTCCCCTGTGTATGTCGCGGCAAACATGGTTGATACGGCTCCTTGGAATTGATCCTTTTTAAAAGGCTCGAGGCCGACAGCCATCGCGTATCCGCCCAGCGGGAAAGGTTCAAAGATGTCTTCTTTGCTCATCTTTGTACTCACGAATCCCGGATGGGTCGCATTCATGAGTATGTTGGGATAACCCATGTTCGTCACCTTCCGAGCAAAATATCTAGCGTATAGGATAGCCGCAAGTTTGCTACGCCCGTATTGTGCATTAGGACCAAGGTCGCGGTTCAACTCCTCCAGGCTCTCAAATTCTGTGTCGCTGGGCGTTGATTGGTGCATGTTGCTCGCCTGATTGGATATGCGAACAATATCACCTTTCTCTGCGGTCTGCTTCATTAGTGGAAGTAAACGAGATGTGAGGATCACATGGCCAATATGATTAACGGCCATATGTCTATCGACGCCATAGTCTGTGAGCTGGTAGGTCATGATCCCCCGTCCTGCGTTGTTTATCAGGATATCCAGTCTGTCGGTATCCTTCGTGATCTCTTCGGCCATCTCTTTTACTCTCTCCCAGTCTGATAAGTCGCACAGCATCCACTTAGTTCTATCTGCTACCTCTTGACCCAGATCCTTTGCGATGGCTTCCTTAGCACCCTCCACAACATCTTCGGATATGGAAAGGATATAAACTTTAGCAACGTTGTGCTTTAGTAGTGTATAAGTACAGCCATAGCCGATACCTTCGCTCCCGCCTGTAATTACGGCAACCTTTCCCGTCAGATCGGGAACTTGGTCCAAACTGAATGGGTGGGTTGTAATATCATGAGCCTTGCCACCGAAGTTTTCTCCGATGGTATTCTAACGACAGTGTCAATTGACTAAAACCTTCTAGAATTCTCGATTCCTAGGTAGCATTGAAGGAGACAGGCATTATGCAGTCATCCGCCATAAGCCGTGAAGACATACCTTGATGGCCTTCATACCCTCTAACAGTATTCCCTGTCTCGGCGTAGCTTGTCGAGCAGACCACGTCGAAAATGTTGCTAAACTCGAAGTAGTTCTCAGTGAATATACCAATGGGTGGCTCAAACGATACACGACGGGACGGGCCGGAGAGGCTCGGGAGAGTACACCACCAAACATGTATAAGGAAGCCTGCATTTGAATATAAACAGTTTTTTATGAGTACTTACAAATCACGATATATTATGTCTGGTCGACTGCCTTTCTAAACGATATCAGCCAGTCTCGCAGAGAAGACTAGTTTACCCACTATGAGCATTACAATTTTCAAGTGGTCATCGATCCCCATTTTGTGGTCATCGATATTATTTTGTTGTTGGCGCTTTTATATGCTTCGCTTCACCATGACGTGCTGATTTGGTACTGTCGTCTATCCTACGTCACAAATGTAGCTTAGTCTTACCTGTCCAGCTTACCAGAATAATACACATTGTCCTGCTTAATCTTATGTAAAAGGCAGCTAAAGTAGTGAATAAAAACTTACAAACTGAAAGCTCCGTGAACGGTGTTAGGATTGAATTATACAAGATACTATTTCAAAGGATGATGTTAGAATTTCGCCAATCAGGTTGACGACAAAAGGTAATCTCGAAAATCGGGAAGGTAGGTAATAGGTACCTCTTGCACTCCAATGGCCATACAGGTACCTTCCCGGACTGCTACGTTCGTTCTACCCCACGTTTGATGCACAGACCATCACCTTCGGGTGTTTCTTTAGTCTCCATCTACAGTCGGAAATGCTTGTATTACACGACGGTAGGTACATAAAGCTTAGTTGGAGAACATAGAAGAAAAAAATTAGAAGAAAAAAAAATGCAGTGCTACCTTTCTTTGATTTTCAATATGTTAGGTACCTAAGGCATCCTCTATCTTCGGGAAATAGATCTGGATGCACCTGCAGCTGAATCTGGCAGTTTGTAAGGTACAGTCTCCGATTTATACCGATCCGATGAGCTGGAACCAACTAATTCGTGAGAGGCCACGACACTGATACGATACTTCTCAGGGTCCGCTATGACTCTCGGAATACCACATAACCATATCCTTAATTATCTGTCGCCTTCTTGTTCTGTAACATTCGGTCTACGGGGTTAATATACATATCAGGCGAATATTCTTCCTTAGCGACGAAGAAAACAACGCGCAAACAACGCACATTTGCCCATATCATCTCTTACCGTCACGTCAATACAGAGATTATCCCCAATCCCCTGGAGCAACACATGTTTCGCTGTTGATTCGAAAGAACAGGGGTAATCAACAGTTTCAGCATGATCGACGGCGGAGTGTTCAATACTCCAGTCAATTGATACATAACCGGACAATTCTTCTCAAGGTCCACGTCCGAATAATTTTGTCCTTTTATGCTTCATTTGATGATTCAAGTGTCACACAATTATGATTCGCAAGTGACTGGAGGCCGGGCATATATATACCTTTCTCATCATCTATATTGGAAGTCAACCGACGAATCGACATCTGATAATCAACTGGTTACCGCTAAATATCTCGGTTCACAAGAATTAGTACATATTTCAGCATTAACCGCATGGCAACCCGAATATAAGTTGTAGCCCCTAGCCTACTTAATATCAACGATTTATCGGACGACATCGCTTCCGACTCTAGACTCACTTTCCGACGACATTTACCGATCATGGCCGCATTCAAACTCTCGTCAAAGCAGAAGCTTTGTGCCATAATCGGCATTTCCTTTTGCTTTTTTATTGCAGAACTAGTCGGTATGTTATAGAGACAAATTTCTCCAAATCTAAACTAAGGCTAACTATGTCACAGTGGCCTTTTCTACTAAATCTCTGGCTCTTCTAGCAGATGCCTTCCATTACGTACGTCATATATCTGCTTATATGTTCAAAGAAGCTATGCTTAAACTTGTTCTACTAGATGAACGACCTCATCGGCTTCGTTGTTGCCCTAGCCGCTATCATCGTAAGTTTGACCAGCGTATATCAGAGTATATTTGCATTAGGTACCTGAACTAGATCAGCTAACCCAAAAACCAGATCTCAGAACGCGCAGCCTCCCCTGACAACTTCTCATTTGGTTGGGCACGTGCCCAGCTCCTTGGTGCCTTCTTCAATGGTGTCTTCCTACTTGCCCTCGGTGTATCCATTTTCCTCCAATCTATTGAAAGGTTCATAAGCGTCGAACGTAAGTTATACCTCGTCCTAAGATGCTGCTATATGTTAACAACTCCGCACAGATGTTCAGAATCCCGAGCTCGTACTTATCATGGGTTGTGTTGGGTTGGCACTAAACATCATCAGTGCGACGTTATTGCATGAACACCACGGCCATGATCACGGAGGGCATGGTCATAGTCACTCGCATGCACAAGGTCATGAACATGCTGAGAACCACGAACACAACCACGACCACGACCATAGCCACGTTAATGTCGAGGCTGGTGGGCAGTCAAGAGAAAGTTCAGGCGACTATTATCAAGACGAGATTCCCCTAACCGTAAGTTGATATCAGTTTATTCGCCTTCGTCTCCCGTTGCTAAAGTAAACTCAGCCTATAAGTGCCCATGCTGAGCATCGACATACTATCGTGAACCTTCAATCCTCAGGGCGAGACCTCGGTATGATGGGAGTCTTATTCCATGTTATTGGTGACGCATGTAATAATGTCGGAGTTATCATCGCGGCACTCGTCATCTGGCTTACGACACCCGAGGGCCGATTTTATGCTGACCCAGGCATAAGCATGGCCATTGCCATCATGATTTTGGTGACGTCCATCCCACTTGTGAAGAACAGTGGCAAGATCCTCATGCAGAGCGCCCCAAAGGGCGTAAATATTGACGACGTCAAGCACGATCTAGAGAAGGTAAGTCATTCGAAAGGGTCATTCGTGATTCTAGGACACCAAGCTACTGAATATTGCATAGACTAACATGACATGATGAGTACAGATCCCAGGTATCCAATCCGTTCACGAACTACACATCTGGCGCCTCGACCAGAAGAAAGCCATTGCAACCGCCCATGTTGTAGTATCAAACAATGATATGACTGACTTTATGAGCCGCGCGCGGACTGTCGGCGAGTGTCTACACGCCTACGGTATCCATTCAGCAACCTTACAACCCGAGCTTGCAACCCCAACCTCGACATTGTCCATCAATAATAGCAATAGTAGCCGTAATACCATAAGCATTGCAGCGGAAGATTCCGCGGTCGCAACCGCTGGAACTGGACCATCCTCAGGGGCATCGATTAGAAGGCGACGCCCCGAGATATCGGCCCCATGCCAGATAGCATGTGGGAACCTATGCGAAAACCTGACTTGTTGCAATACAGGTGCCATGCGGATCTAAGCACTAGTAGTACAATAGTGCTCAAGTTGTGCTATGTTGTTTAGGTAGGTAGATTTAGCCACTGGACGGCTATATACTACATAGACCTATAATTAGCAATACCAAATTCGTACGATATTTACGTCACTAACTTAAATAAGGTAATCACCTCTACGGCAATTAGAGGTAACTATCTTCGAGCTTTATAATGGTGAAATAATCTACATATCAGTCTTTGACCCGGAAAGCTTCGAGGACACGCGATTATTCTTCGTTAGAATACCCGCAATAGTCAAGTCTCGTAGCTATCATCCTTCTGCCACTATACAACTATCGATACCGTTGCTTTTTGCTAAAGCCTAAGATTGAATATGAGGGTCCCATATCTTCGCCACCATCTATTAGCCTCAAACCCGAGCCCGTGGTCCTGGTTTGCGATATATATCTACGCACTTTGGGGGTGTCGGTCCATGGGGCTCAGCTCTAGGTCTAGTTTAAGTTGCGGTAGATTCCCCGCACCAGACAAGAAGCAATGTTCCCTCTCGATATTCATGGTCGTGGGGTGGTCAGGGGTCGGAAACGTGGGGGGTGCTCGATGCTTCGAACCACGCATACATTAGTCAAGGACCGGGAGTCGTAAATCCGCATACATCTGCAGTAGGAAGAAGCAACTCTTGCATATCCGGACTGCTATCCTACCTCATCAGGCATGTGCATGCATACGTATTACGTATACACAAGATCTCATTAGCAACAACAACGGCTATGACGTCTTGAGCTTCCTTATTCTGCTCAAAAGCCTTCTTGGTCTCATTTCCGACGTCGGCTTCGTTCTCACATGATTCGCCTCAGGTATAGAGACATATAATCTTATCAATCCGTCCATCTACACGCAATGAAACGAGCCCGTTTGGTAGGACAAAGATGGCGTGTGACAGTTTCCGCCCCCGTTGTTCGTCACCGCTAGATACGAGCTGACTTGTCGACAAGGAAATATTTCCGTCGACCTTCTCAAGTCAGGAATGAGCCCGAAAGACGGAGCCGTGACAAGACCCTTATTCCGTAAGTACACCCGACCTAAGTAACCACGCCCATTTCCAATTTCATTCCCTTCTTTCGAACCTTATCTCCTTTCAGTTCCCTCTCCCGCGTGCAATCTTTCAGCCTTGCTGCGGTAACATTCGCGCGTGTTACCTATCGGCCTGCTTAGTGCATGCAGCTCCGCGGATGGTAGCCTGCGAATGAAATACCCTGTCTGCATGATCCTTTCCTCTCGTTCCCTTCCCTACTGGAATATGGACTTACTTTTCGGAACCAGAACCGAGCGATGTATGTGCCTCGATGTGGATGATACGTATAGTAGTAACGCGAGATATCTGGCTGAAGTAGACGGGCGGGTGCGGCCCGTGGATGATTCTTTTCCATCGTGTACAGCACAAGTTATTATTTTTAACTTATATGCGAATCCAGTCTAAGCACTATCAATAGAATACCTAAGTATCTATATCACGAACACATTCATGCCAAATCTCAATTCGTGACCGCTATATGAACTGCTCGAGGGCATGCGAGGCCCCAATGTCTGAGACTTTGTTGTGCAGCATTGCATGATGTACATATTCGTACAATATTATTATGCAGGCGTCATATAATTATATTCCCTGTCGACCGCCCAAAATGCATATCAGCTCGCCAACATCCTGCCTCATCCACCAGAGTTCCCGAATTAGCTTGTATTGATCGACTATATACCCTGTCTAGTATTATATCTACACGAATCAATATAAAGGTTATAAAAGATCAATACGAAGTGTTCAAGATTTTTCGGCTGAACGTAGTTACCGCTAATAGCAATGTACCTCCTCTGGTTTATTCAGTAAACGAAGCTCATTACCTAAACTATATTAACTAGGTACTTAGGCCGTCATACCTTTTACTAGAAGTTACAGGTAGTAAATTTTATTTTATCTATTAAAGCAGAAACGGTATGCGTCGGAGGGGGACCCGTATTTCGGACCCGGACGCATTGTATTAGACCCACCCGGTCGGTAGTGGACCGGTCCAGCGGGAAGTCACGAAGCACGCTCTCAAGGCATAATACATTTAAGTCCAGAATGAAATAAAACTCTCTGCTCCGTTTGATTCTTGCACCTGTGGGATGATATTTTATACGCATAGTAACGGCAAAACTGATTTCGGCAATAGAATGTAAGAAGAACATTTCAAGACCGCCATCAAACCTGGAAGCGGGGGTGTGGCTCTCTTTCACATGACGGAGATTGATTCAAGCCCTAGGTCTGTTCTGGCGATTCCGAAGCAATTAGTCAAAAACAATGAATAGATCATCCAAATAATCAGCGGGAGGAGGAGTTATAATGTATTATCTAGCTAGGAAGTCTAGTATATGCTGATGTATTTGGTACAAAGTGATGAAAAAACTACCTATGAAGTCATTGATCTTGATCACTGGGTTTGATTTTATAACTTATCCCAGTATGACATCCGACATTGCTTCATCCCCATGTGCTGTAACGTAAACATAGCGATGATCGCAATGTACCTAATAGCGGGAATAGCCTATTTCGATAGAATAAAGAAGTCATGATGCTATTGCTATGGCCAAGTCGAAAACAATCAGGTTACCGAGTTGAATACGTTTGATGCTGGACGGCGTCATTCCGTATAATAATATCCGATTGTTTCTATCCAAAGTGTTAGTAGAGCGACTCGCAAGAAAGAAAATAGGCGCGGAAGAAATAAATAATATATGGAGATGATATGGTAGGATGTAGTTAAAATCATCTCAATATGTCGCCAGGAAACTGCTATTCGTTGGGATCCGACCAATGACCTTGATAGGCAGAGACATGAAGTTGCAGGTTCCTACTCAGTTAGATAACTACCGATCGTACCTAGTCTCTAATTAAGAAGTCTCAAGCTGTGATATGCTGGTCTAGTTTGACGATCTGCGGCGTAGTCAAGGGCACGGTCAATCCATCGAGAAATCCCAGCTCCAGTATGAGAGGTTGAACCAGATAAGCAAAAGAAATGGTGAGAGACGCTCATTGGCGTCGCACCGTGGGTATTCCGTGATTTCAGTCATGGTTCCGCACATCGCTATTACGCAAGCCTAGGTATTGGGAGACTGGTTTAATGCTAGGTTCGGTAGCACTGATCTCACCCCAGATCTTCGGTTCAAATTACCGATCGAATTTGGAGGGGAGCAGATCACCCCAGGTAGTTGGAGCGTCCAGCAATATAATAAAGCTTGTATCATGCCATCGACGACTCCGCTGGTGATGGTGATGCAAATGATAGTCTGGGGTAGCCTAGGTAGCCAGCAAGCGAGAGTAACCAAACAATGAAGATCTTGTTAGAGATGACATATACAAGTATAGCTTGACGCAGTGACAAGGGTATCCTAAATGAGGAACACGCGCTTGATGCAATCAATATCTGTCTGGTCAAAGCGCTTGAGCAGCAGCATAAGAGGAGTAACGTGAGGAAAAAAGCTTTTGCTTTCCATCTCCATCGGATGATCATCTAGAAAATAGCGCATCTAAGCTGCCGTTTGCTAGGGCTTCTAGAACTAGTATCTAATAGGCTGCCGGTATTGGGTCGGTATTCGAAGCGCGGAGCCTATGATAGCGTTCTCGGCGTCCAATAAGACCAACGACTCACGAGGACAAGACTTGAAGGCTACACCTCTAATCGATTCTTTTCCCCGGAGCGGAACTCACTCAAATCGCGCAGCGCTATTCACTTGAATACTATGTAAGTCGGGAGACTAAAATTTAGGCCATTTGACCGCGGCGTGACCGCGGTGTAGGTACATGTCAATATTTTCTCTTACGTAGGCCTACGAGATTAGTAGCGCCAGTACGTACATACATTACATATAGTTCTTTTAAGTATGTAATACCTCTTAGAAGTTTGACAAACATCCAATACATTGCTTACCCTTAAAGCCGCAATGTGAAGAACTACTTTATTCGTATAGTCGAGGGGACCCGAGTGCCAAGACGAGGTAAGATGAGATCGGGAGACGTGTTCGATAAACATGACTGGATAAACCAAGCAGCCAAGAATCAAGATGAGCATTTGCCGGCGGTAAATTATGACTTTGATTCGTACATTGCGTCGCGTTACGGTACTTATCTTACGTCGGCTGGAATGAGTATCTCGATAATATGGAACTGAACTCGATGGCATCGGAATTTATGCATGCTAAATCGTATGCTAATTAGTCAGTAGCGTGACCTTTTCCCTTCTCATCCCTTTTTTGGTGTCGGCCTAGAGATCTAGCCCTGTGGCTAGCTACTCTCTATTACGTTATTAGATGGAAAGAGAAATATATTGAGAGTTGCGTCGGATACGACACCACAGCTTAGTTTCGGACTTCTTAGCAAGCTGAGCCTCATCTCGGACCGTCTGGACTATGCTTATTTGTAGCACATGTACAACAGCCGCGTCAGCGGCGGGTGCTGCTTAAATGTAATATATCTATCCTGTCTTGGGGTTGGCATGGTGTGGCATAGAGAAATGCTCATGATCGGCCGATAGCTCCTATTTTGCCCTGCGTTGCTTCCCTTGCAATCTTTTGAATCCTGAGATTGGGGTCCTCACCGCCGGTACTTCGAAGTAGTCGTTTTAGAGACGGGAGAGCGATGGACAAACAGGGCATCGCCCACACGACTTAGCCAACTTGTACGGGAAGGTAGCTTATACTAGTGATGGATAGCTAGTGTTCGAAACCCTCCATAGCATAAGAAAATGCCAATGGTATGTCATACGTATACTAACGAATAACGATGGTACAACAGAGATATTGAACCAAGGCGTCCCCGGAAATGATGCATCCGATCGAGGTAATATCGATGGAGCATCATGTACATGATAAAACTTGTATGCGAGGGGCTACCTAAGTCGAGACTGAGGGGTCTCAAACAATGGGAAAGGTAGTAACGAGGGCGCATATATCATCATATGTACGGTACATACAGGAGACCTACAGGAGGTGATGGTAGGAATGTTGAAAGAAACAAGAATGAAGTCGCGTGTGCTTTTCCCGAAACAGAGATGAGCTGTGACCGCCTTTCCCGGAATCTCTATTGCTACCTCGAAATGGAAATGAATACTATGTTGCTGGAACGCTGTTGGATCGTGATAAATGATAAAACTTAAGCCCGGTCTGCAAGCCACACAGATAGACAGATGGACCGATGAAGCCCAATGACAAGACAGATAAAAAGTTGGAACAGCATTGGTGCCTTACGCACCGTATAAAATATTTTATACTGTATTCGATCTACTTTGCATACATCAATGTACCTAACCTAACATCAGCACATGCACGACCTGATATATAAGGTAAATCATATAAATAATCAACAGTCAAGTTAAGAAGATGCAGATATATCGGAAATATATTCCTATATATATATTTTATCAGCTTCTTATCTTTAACTTATATTTATGTATGTCTTTTCTCGAGATGGTTGTTTTCCTCCTTGCTCTTCTGATGTTAGTTCGGAACGTACAATAGGTAGCGTAGAGCTGACATAGAAAGATCCTCGGTGCTGTACAACAAGCCGAACATTAAACCATGTAAGTGACAAAACTAAGAAGAGCTAAGAAAAGCATCTAATGCAGCACTTGCATGCGTACCCGCCTATTTGTGGGTAATGGCCTATTTTGTGCGCAAGTACGGTATCTGGGGATCCACCAGGCGCTGTTCTCTAGGGCTAGGGCGCTACAGGATGTACCTAGCATATATCAGATAGGTGGGCTGGCAGGTCAGGCTAGCGTCCGCTGCAGCCGTGCAACAATAGAACAGAACAGTTAAAGCTAATTGATTACCAACCCAAGCACAAATAGGTCATCCATCTCTCTCTTATTCACCGCTAGATCGCATCGAATCCTTCAGACCGACTGCGGAACCAACTGCCTGGGAAGAGACACATCTGACTGCTTTTGTGTTATGCCTGGAGTACCTGGAATTTATCTGGGGTGATTAACTAGGTACATATTGGTAAGGTATTCGGGTACTATCGCAATACATTTTTAACCTAGGTCTTCTTTGCGATTTGAAATATCTGGGTACAAAGAAGCTTCGAAGCTTCAACACTCCAAAATGTACCTATGTACTAGGACCCTTAGAAATTCGGCTAGAACAACTAAATAGAGACTAGAATAATCCAGAACCCCACAAGTATATATCATGGTAATTATATGTATTGTTTCGCTCTTAAAGAAGAGTTAGTTAGTAGAAGTCGAGAAAAGCCGAGTAGATGTTCATCTAAGCACAAGTTCTTCTTAACATTTGGTCGTACTTTGTTTGTATTGGTGAGAGTATTTGGTGAGATTGAACGTCATAGTTGGCAATGTTATGTACCTACACCAATCTAGGTACGCTTCTTTCCTGGGCAATCTTCTTTTCTTCTTCTTCGTTCACACAGGTAGGTACACTGTCGTAAGTACCGAATAGCCGGGGTACCCTTAGCATTGAAGAAGTAGCGTAGCTTGAACTTACATAAGAGGGAAGGCGGTCATCCACTTACCGTACCTATTACATACATATATACATAGGTACATATGTACCTAACCTAAGGTAAGCTTCGAGAGAGGGACGATTTTAGCAACTCTTATGTATCGTACCTTACGCATTACTCGTAGAAAGATGCTTCCTTTCTCTTACTCACATTCCGCATCCTTTTTACCAATTACGCGTAAATCTTCTAAGATTCATTTTCATTTTACATTATCCCCAGATTTTACATGTACCTACTTAAATTTGTTCGGGAAAACGGTTCATTGAGTAACAACGTGTCCTCGAAAGCGACTCAACTTTGGGCCCCTGTCTGTCGTATCCTTTCATCTCCGATTACGCACATTATCACGTCGCTCTCAAGCTTTCACGCTCTCACGAGTCTTCAACTAAACGCGTACGACTTATACTTAGTTTGTCACTCCACGGCCTCGTGGCCTACGACGTTCCTTTAGATTGGATACCGTTGCCTCGTTCATATTCAGCTTTCAGCTCTCAGTTTGTGTTGTGGATTCGATTTCTTGTTTATCACCATAACTACATCATCTGACTCTCACCATTGTGTTATACTGCATCACCCAGAGAAAACTTTGTTGCACTTAGTTCAATGTCTTTCTACGCCATGGTCAACGCTGCGGAGGGCTCTTGCCACTGGATGGGTGCCTGTTAAGACATCGGTAGCTTCTGCAACTCTTACCTGCGTTGTTGATTACCTAGGTTAGGTATATATCCGGTATCTTGGACTTTGAAAGTATCTAGAACCACAATGTTGGGCAAACTGTTTAATCTAACGTCGGGAACGACTGGAGGTACGAATTCCCAAGAAGATTGTTCGCCGACTAAACCGTCGCCCGAATCGATACAAGAAGATGTTCATACTCGGAGTCTCTTGTTCCCGGATACGCAGGCTCTCTATCATCGTCAGGACCAGGTGTTTCCATTATCGTCCACGTCCGGTGTTCAACCCGGGGCTTCCGCGAGCCCTTTCGACTATGATGGCGATATTGATATCGACGTGCGCGATGTTCGCATCATAATCATGCAAGACGCTTTGGGCTCTGCTAGTCCTTCATTATTGTTTGACAGCAACCAAGTTCCATCTCCTAGTTCACCAGTTGATCGACCACAGCCACCGAGTGCAGCTTCATCCTCTCAGTCGCTTATGCAGGATCTTCGACGTGCTCCTACGTCGCCGCGGAAGAGTAGCCTCGGGCAGACCTCGAGACCACTAGTTATCCAGCCTGGCAGTCCTCAACCCCGGCAAGGTGCATTTGATCGACGCGGATCCGCCCAGTCCCGCGCATATAGTGCTGCGGAGACTGAATCCCAGAAAGCTGCTAGGGAATATCGCGAAGAGTTGGCTAGCTTCTCCAGCTGTATATTTGCTAACTCTGAAGTAATGTCTTATAAGGGGACATCGACAAAGGTTCACATCATTCCAAGCGAGCCGCGGCCGTCTGCCGTCTCCAGTTCATACGTGGGAGATGGGCGAGGATCAATGGGGAGATCTAGTATGAGATCAAGTAGGTTAGCACAATCTTTCACGTCAGAGTCGGCGAATGCACATTTCCAAGCATTTTCCGCGCCTCCCCGGCAGCAGGACCGCAGCAAGATTCTAGTGACCCGCCTGTTTCCAGTCAACCTACCAAATGACGATCTTGATTCGCCTACCCAGGCTACAACGGCCCATAGCCGCTTTTCCGATGATAGCGGAGGGTTCCCGTTTCCTTGTTCTCCGGACGACTCCAAGCCAAACAAGAAAAAGTCGAAACCGATACAGAAGAGGACGCCGATGTATGCCGTCGCCTTAGTCCTTCAGCTTCCTTCAAATTCACCTAACGCCGTATCAGCAACGGCGCCGAAGCCCGTATTTCGAGGGCCAAGCTCTTATAACGAACAGGACTTCTTCCCTTCCTCTTTCGGATCCGCGCGCCGATCCGGCTGGACGATGATCGGTTCCGGTTTCGGCTCGGAATCATTTGAGTCGGCGTATAGTAACGATGTCGAGGATCGCATGGATGCGATAACTCAGCATTGGGACATCATTATGAGGACCCTTACCCATCTGCAATCTATAGTCGCTACGACATTGATCCCCATGCTGAAACAGGCGGATATGTCGGCTCCAGATCCATATCCCTCGAATGTGTCTGCTCAGATCGCTCGAACATCTTCAGTAAAGAGTCGAAGAGACTCGGATGCATCTCAGATGAAGCCGTCCAAGACAAACGCGAAGCTTGTAACACTATCTCCGAATTGTCTAGCGCAAGATGTACGCATTAGCCAAGAAATTGATGATGCTAAGATACGAATTGTGTCTGGTCTTCGAGCTACAAGAGTTATAACGGGACAGGGTCGTTGGGGACCATGGAGGGAGGAGGCAAGATGGGTTGCAAAATGGGCTGGAACTAGGGAGCAGGGATTTTTCTTTTTTAATCTGTTGACGGCATTTCTTTCAACGCATACTGAATGGCTCCAAGCATTAAGTCCAGTTTGGTACCGGAGGCGACGTTATCAACAACAAAAAGTAAAAAACGAAGAAGATGCCTCTTTACCATCTCGCACGATTATAATCGCCAAGGACAAAATGGCTGCTAGGAGGTTGATATTCTTACTCTCAGCCTTCCTGCCTGCTAACCAGCAGCTGCCCACAGTTCGCGCCCAGCGGCCAGCAACCTCCGCATCAGTTGCAGCCTTTGGCCACTCGCCACCGTCGTACATAGTACCGATCAATAAGGAAGAGTCTCTACGCCGAAAAATCAATCGGCGCCAAGGGCAGAGAGGTGCCTCTCATACGCGAAGTTTTAGTATACAGTCGCAAGCTACGACGAGGTCTGTAACGGGTATACCCGCGCAGCTCGCGCATCTCAGCATGGAGCTCTCTAACCAAGAACGTCGATCGTCGGATTTCATCAAGCCGGCGAATCTACCTATTATTGGGAACGATCTCAACACGCGAAAGAGCAGCGCCGCGACAGCCAATACAATCGTTCCGGACTCGGCTATTCCACACTTCTCTACAGTGCACCGGAGTAGTACCAGCCGCGGCAACCGACCAAACAGTGGTGGCAGTTTTGCTGCGGATGATTTAAAGCGGTCACTCAAGAGGGGTGATAGTACTGGCCACGCTAGCCGTGCGAGTACTGACTCTCGTCAAGGTTCCCGATGGGGAAGTGTGATTAGCGGCTTGTGGAGTACAAGACGACGAGACTCAACCGCTACTACCTCGCAGACATCGGACATTCTCGGCCATCCCGATAGTCCACTCACATCACCTACCCGAGCAACGGTCGGTGGAAGGGACAAGCTTTCGGAAATGGTTCGAGAAGCTCAGCTGCTCGATACGCCCACTAAGCAACAGGTAGAGGGTGAACATACTCCACTTCAAGAACCAGATACCCCTCGAAGATTAGAAAGCAAGCAGCCCGAGTCTCAGTTGAGAACTCCGGATCCTTTAGGGGCATACGAATCTCCCGTGAAGACGTCGATTAACAACGACGACGGAGTAATCGATGTGGATGTACAGTTTCCAGACTACCTTACATCGTTTGAAACCGCCGTCAGCTCGCCGTCTAGTAGCGGCTATCTCTCGACTCCTGGTCTAGGTAGTGGGCTCGAGGGCTTCGAACAATTTTCTAGACTGGCTATTGATGGCGATGCTCCCTTAAATGTTGCCGGGTGGCTAAAACGCTTTCACCCGGATTTCACGCTACAGGCAATCCCACCGCAGGGAGATCTCCTAGATGAAGTCCGAGAATCTCTAGCCGCGGAACCAACCCCTATAGTGCATCTCAATTCGATACCAGCAGAGTGGCCCGCGGAACACTGGGTTGACGTAAGTAGTGCTATTATCGCTGATACAACCAACTTTACTATTAAACGGCTCCGCTATCGCCGTTTAGTCAAGCCTAAAATATCACTTGACCGCAACACGGCCAGTTACCTATCGCCATATGGTTCTTCTTTGATAACACCAGCACTCTCGCCTTACGAACAGCCTATTAAGGATAAAATCGAAGAAGAGGAGCTTTTTACCTTTGATGAAGCGCTCATCGATGCTGTGGAGAGGGTCATCGCCCACAGTAGTGATGTGAGCAAGGGAAGTTCAGCTACGTCTTCACGGTCAGCGAGCAAACGGAGAGAGAGAAGGGATAGTGAAGCTTCTCGAACGACAGAGCAAGAGGTCCCGACGTATCAAATTGACTTCCAGGAAGTACCACGCGCGGAATGTAAGATGGTTGTCTTATCTGCGTTGTCCGGAGTTGTACAGGACGTGGTAGACCAGCGGGAGAGAGAAAGCCAAAAAACGAACCCAACTATTCCTTACCAAATAAATCGCGAAAAGGAGAGCATACTGCGAGCCGCGGTTAGGACATGGCTCGACAATGTGGAGCTCACTGATGGATAACTTCCCGAATTCTAAATCTACAACTTCTCTAAAAGGACATTTTCGTCTCTAGTGTCTGGAGAGCGGAAACTTTTACTTAATGATAATGATTAACGACTTTGTTTTTATCGCGTTTTGCGATTGATTTGCCTTGAGGGCACACAACAGAGCGTGGCGTAGCGACGGAGAAATACACGAACATGTACCACCACCAACACAGGTCTCATTTCCAGGGGAGGGAATATTAGAAAGACACATTTTCCGTCAAATGATACCCCAATAAGTATGCATGCATTATTACACATTTTATTTCCATTATTACATCCCCCCCTTCCAGTTCCAGCATTTCACGTTCGGTTTAAGGGGTGGTATGTCAACACCAGGGGAGTCTGACGGAATGGTTTGATGGATGAAAATTCTATGCATGATTCAGAATTTCAGTAAACGGTGGCGGAGTAGGTGTCTTTTTAACAAAGGGAGAGTAGTTTTCGCAGCTCGACACTCGAGCGTTTGGTGCCAGGATGCCAAATGATACGATACCATGTTACGATGGTAGCATTGTTATTTATAAATGCTACACAACATAATTTATATTCTATCCTATGATGGTTTCCTCCAACCATCATACCTTAGATAATTTTAATTGTGATGAATTATGAAGGATTCAATATATCCTCAAGTATCAAGTAATCGGTAATCTCGACAGCGGAGAGGTTTATAATAGCTAGTAGGACTTCCGTGTTAGATTTTATGAAGCCCAATTTGTGAAATCGGAATAAGAAAAATCTATTAGAAAATTGGCCTAGATTTCGCTTTACCTTTACTCTCTATTTTTACTGACGGGTATATTGACAACCGACCACCCAACCCCCTTTTTCTCTAGGCCATTTTTACCTTCTTAGACCTCGCCAATCCCGCAACTGTAATGTAGCCCCTTTAAGGAAATCTGTATTTTCTCCGTCTCTTTTACCCGTGTTGAAGCCCGACCATCACCACTTACTCACCACGGCTCTGATGCTCTCTAGTGGGACTGCCACTTCCACTAACTTGGCCTTTTCACCCTTAGCCGATAGCCCCGGGTGAGGATCCCGCCGTAGAGTCCACAAGTTGGTCACGCCTAGACTCGCCAGATACTCAAGCGCGCGACCGTAGTTAGTGCCTACCTGTGCGATGCCGTGGCTATCATCTGAGAGTGTGAACCGCCCCCCTAATCGTAGCCACTCCTCGGCGATTGGTCGTGCCGGGTACGGCTCTACAAGCCCCTTGCGCAACGCACTACTATTACACTCCAACCACCCGCCGTATTCGGCTATGACCCGCAGGTTACGGCACACCCGGTCCCAGACTCCCGGCCAAGAAGTCCGCATGTCACGGCCCGGCTCCGAGGATAGAAGCCGCACGAGGTCGAAGTGGCCGACGATGCGCGGGTGCAGAGCTGTAAGCATGGCGTGCTGCTGGTCGTAATACCGCTCCGCGGCTAGCTCCTCAGAGCCCCCCGCAGAGGCAATGGCCCGCGCATAGTACGAGGCATCGTAGTCGATGGGAATCCCGTCAATGTGATGCAGGCTACCGATGAAGTAGTCGATGCTGGGGTGAGTGGCGAGCTGCGTCACAATGGACGCGTAGGCGGGCCGCGGCCACTCGCCCTCAAAGCCGATCACGATGTGGATCTGAGAAGCATACTTCACTTGCAAGCGTTGGGCCTCTAGGAGGTATGCTTCGTGCCGCGGGAAGAGCTCTGCGAGGGAGCCTTCGGGGTTGTCGAGCTAGAGATGTTAGTTATATAATTACCTATATTAATAATCATGAAAATAGAAAAATAAAAAATAAAAAAAACGGCAGTGAGATAACTTACTTCCTCAGGATATAAATCCTCAAAGGCAGTCCGTGGCATATGCTCTGTGAGCCCAAGGGTGGTGTAACCAAGACCGATGGCGTGCTTAACGATGTCTTCAAGTTGGTCTTGTGCGTGGCCAGGGCAGAACTGGCCCGAGTGGGAATGCATCGTGAAGGCCATGATTCCTTGGAGATACAATCTCGATAGTGATTGGTGTTACTCAGCAGGATTGGAGTATTAGTTGTGGTTATAGGAAACAAGGCTGATTATTGGGGTTTGGGCAGCACTTTTCCGACTGGTAGTTGGGTGCAAACGATTAATTTATAGAACGAATCCAATCATATAACAACAATGTTATATATGTTGGAGAATCGTAATATTAGGTCTTGATTATGGGAAAATCCCGGTAACACGTTTGAGCAACATCTTAGATTGAAACAAGATGATGTGAATGTTAAGATACTAAAAAATCGATTCCATCCATTAATTCGAGAATGCAGTAAGAGGTGAGGTACTTGTCGAAGTACTTAATGCATTACACTAGATGTACCTTCTCTATCTTATCCCCCGGATTCCGGCGGGAAGGGATGGTCAGGTACCTGGTTAACATCTTACCTTTGCATTTTGGAAGCGGCTGTGGTTGGCTAAGCTCGATTAGAACAATCTGATATAAGTTCGACCTTGCGAAAAAAAAGATCTCTTGAAAACACGTGATTATTGTTATTAGAATAATTAAATTGACGTTTAATATAAGATTCGTGATTGGTGAGTTCGCACTTTCTTTGTATACCTAGGTAAGTACGGTAAGTACCATCTGAATCCTACATCATAGGTGCATTTAGGTACAGGCCAAGATGTGGGACCTGCTAGTAGTAGGATGTACCTATCGCCTTATCGCCTTTGACCGGGGCTGCCTGCTTATGACATCGCGTCCGTCAGTGGAATTTTTCTGGAACTGCAATTGATCTTTTCAGCCTTGTACCTTTTTTTGTCTTGGGAGCTTGATCAACGGCGATTGTAAATCATTTATCACCGACAAGAACTTGTCAACTTTTTATTACTCGATACAACCTTCAATCCTTGATATATAATATTTACGACTACCTAGTTAACTTCGTCATTTTATTTCCTTTGTTAAGGAAACGTACTTCAATGTTAAGATAGGGATCCAAGCTTTCCAATTGACAATGTTGTTTCCAGAGAGCGACGCGTCTCTTCTTAGAGCTTGGATCATAAGGCGCCTTGCCAATACGTATGTTTTCTAACCTCGTTTTATTTTTTTTTTATTTTTTGTTTTTGAACTTCCTATTATATTGCTATTGTTATTGCTATTGCTAACCTTTATATCTTTTTTCCCCTACTTTTAGATCCGATGCAGACGCAGATGTACTTGCCGATTACGTCCTAGCTCTCCTACGACACGATGGCGATGTCGAGTCCATTCGCAAGATGTTTGAGGAAGAAATTCCCGATTTTCTCAGAGAAGGTATGACATATTCCCCATCTTAGCAAGTTAACATTATATCTTAAATACCTATCTAATACATCACAGACGCGGCCGCCTTTACAGGTGACGTCTTTCAAGCCGTCAAGTATCGTTCTTACTTGCCAGGAGCTCCTCCTGCGCCTCCTAGCGGTCGTCAAGCTCTTGCGCCCCCTCCAGTTGCGCCCTTAATACCTTCATATCAACCTCAAGTACCATACAACACAACTTCAACGGCTCCGGCCTTCCCCCAGAACGGTTCGCGGAAGCGCGCGTATAATGATCGAGACGATAATGACGTGGACATCATCTTAACGAGCCAAGGTTCTTATTCCGGAGCTCAGCCCTACAAGCAGCCTCGTAGAGGGGGTGGCTTCTCACAGCGTGGTGGGAGATTCGATGAATCTTACAAGCCAAGGGATCAAAATGGGTTTTCTGGTCCATACCCGGCATCTTCTAGATCTAATGGCCGCTTTGGACTACCGCCACCACCGTCTTTTCAACCCTCTACGCATGACCATGGTATACCGCCGATAAACTTGGACAACCTCATGGAAAATATCCAGAGGATGAATCAACTCGATATTCCTATTCCTCAATTACCTGATCTTCCTAAACCTGTTTATTCGGGCTCTATTCCTCCGCCACGTCGGAGAAGACAAAAGTGTAGGGACTATGAGACTCGTGGCTACTGTTCTCGAGGGAGCAATTGCAAGTTCGAGCATGGTTCTGATTCTTTAATGATGCCTCCACTTCCACCTTCGGCAAATGATGGTAAGTATATATATATATATTTTTAGGAGCATGATTTTAATCTTTTAGTCGTCGTCGTCGTCGCTAACTTGTAGTAGAATATGATCCTAACAATGCCGTTTTCCCAATGCCGCTCCTAGCGAATCCACACCAGCCACAGGCATTCCAGCCCCTAAATTTACCCCCTTTTTCCACGGCGGCCCCTACAAATCGTCGCGAACATAACAAATCGAGACGGACAAAGGGTCGACCGCCTAATACGACAAGCGGTCCTATACATGACAAGACTAAGACCGCCATTGTAGTCCAGAACATTCCCAGTGGATATTTCACCGAAGAGAAAGTGCGTGAGTACTTTTCTCAGTTTGGCAACATTGCAGACATTTCAATACAGGGGCCTGACCGCCTTGCGGTTGTTAAGTTTGATACTTGGGATGCAGCTCATGCTGCCTGGAGCTCACCGAAGGTAATCTTTGACAACCGGTTTGTGAAGGTGTTTTGGCACAAGGACGATACCGAGTCCAGACCAAATTCGGTCAATGGAAAAGCCGGAAATGGGGCAAAGAATGGAGCTACTAATGGCAATTCGCTTATTGAAGAGAGTGCGCCTACCGAATCCTTTGACATGGACGAATTTATACGCAAGCAGGAAGAGGCGCAAAAAGCCCACGAAGAGAAGACCAAGAAGAGAGAAGAATTAGAGCGCCAACGCCAAGAATTAGAAGAACGTCAGAAAGAGCTTCGTGCGCGACAACTCGAGGAGAAGCGCAGGCTTCAGGCTAAGCTCACCGGAAAAAGTTCGTCAGAAACAACAGATGATACTACTAAAAAGCCTACGTCACAGACAGAGGCCCTTAAAGCACAACTAGCAGCTTTAGAAGAGGAGGCCAATGTCCTAGGAATTGATCCGGACGCTATTCATGAGGACTCATCATGGTCTACTAGAGGGCGTGGTAGAGGCGGCCGAGGTTATCGCGGTCGTGGACGCTATGTCGCGAGAGCTACCAGAGGCGGACATAGCTACCAAGGTAGAGGTGGCATAGAAGCTAGACATGCAGCTTATGCTGCGTATTCCTTGGACAACAGACCCAAGATAATTGCGCTATCTGGTGTAGACTTTACAAATCTAGAGAAGGACGAGGCATTACGACAATACCTTTTCGTGAGTTACAAACATATCTATATTTACTATTAATGTCTAATCCATTATAGGGCATTGGTGAATTCAAGGAAATTCACACAGATCCGGCCGCAACGCATATTACATTCAAAGATCGCAAAACAGCAGAGCAGTTTATGATGGGTGTGTCTGCCAATAATGCGATTCCCGGACTTGAGGACAAGGTCGAAATTACGTGGGCCACATCTGCACCTCAGTCTGAAACGAAGACTCATGCTGATGATAACGTGCCTATGGCTAATGGTATAGAGGACGACCAAGGGGCCAGAGATAAGACCAGCGCCGAAGGTAGTAGCAGTGTGACCATCGGGCTAGAGGAAGGAGAAGTCAGTAATGGACACGGTCGTGATCAGCATGATATGGATTACGAGGCAGGAGAAGACTGGGATATTTCCTAAATGGAAAGGCGGTAGTCGTAGTTGTGTCGACGCATTGTAACGTTAGTATATCCTATCGAGGATAATCCATTCTTCCGCAGCAAGCGACCAATGGCTGGTCAGCCGAATATGATATATGAACAGGCGCAAGCTTTTATGATGCTTCAATGCCATTAGTTTATAATGTTACATGATCCGACGATAGATTAAATATCTAATAGTATAATCATAACTAGGGCTTGAAGAAGCTTTATCTTATAAGTTTACACTTCGGCCCTTTCTTTGGTAAGGAGAAGAGTCCTCATCTTTCTATTTTCTTCGCTGTCTCATGTATTAATCCTCTACGTCGTCCTCGACCTGTAGAGCGTGGGCTAGGCCCGCACCCACGCAGGCTCCCATCATAGTAGCTGTTGGTACAGCTTTGATCATCGTGGCACAGTCGCCAGCCGCGTAGACGCCAGAGATATTGGTGCTGTAGAACGGCGGCTGTGCATCGATGTGGCCCTGTGGTGTTAGCGTCACACCCAGGTCTGCCGCGAATGGTCCGTTTATCTCAAAAGCTGGAGCATGGGCCTGTTCATAATTGCGTTAGTTAATAGCGCGTACATATAAAAATAACGAAGAGGCTAGATCGTACCAGGAACCCTTCCCTATTAACACTCCCATCCCCTAGCGTGACAAGCACACCTGCCTCGCCTTCCACATCTGGATCTTTAGCTACGCGTGCGAGACGACGGTTCTCGATACTGAATTTCTGGGTGCTTTTGAGCTGTGCCCGGATACATGCACCTAACTCTTTATTACCATCGGTATATATGGTGACGTGGCCTGCGAGCCGAGAGGCCATGCGCGAAATGACGGGAGCCATTAGTGGCGCGCTGCTGTCACTTTCGCCTCCGAGAAAAGGACCTGTCGCCAGAACACCTGCGGACGCGGAACCTCGCTCCTCGAAGCCATGGCAGAAAAGACAGTGGAAGCTAATCTTCTTGATTAGTCGAGTGTCAAAACATAGGAGTATATATGATTCAGAATAGATCGAAGAGGAAAGATAAACTTACATCCCATAACCCCATACGTCCGCGTACCCCTCGGGTGTCGTAGGCATAATGTCCTTCACACCCATCGCTAGGACAACCTTTCTTCCTAGATACTTGGTCCCCTCGACGTCTACGGCCTCGAACCTAGTCCCTCCTCGCTCGTCGTCATCCAGTTTCCGTACGCTCGAGACACTGACGTCGCGGAACTGGATACCCGCAGGGCCTGCATACCGCTCGATCAGATCGGAACGAGCCCGAGCACGGAAGGCGGCCGGGTCCGCGTGGTCCCACCCGGTGACATTGTGCATGTGCTGCGCACGCGCGTTGCGGAATGTATTGTTGCTGAAGATTATAGCGCTGTGTAGCTGTCGCGCTATCGCCCCGGCACAAGCGATTCCTGCGGGTCCGCCGCCGAGGATTAGAACGTCGACTATGGGTACATTAGACATAGCTACCTTCTTTGAGCTCAAGTTATTCATATAATTTGTATTGTGTTGGCTATAAAATGGCCAACGTAGGGGTAGATGAGTGGGAGATGTTGAAATCGAGTCGCTAAAATAATATAGTATTGCTGGAGAAGGCTTGTGGGAAGTGAGCTTTATACTAGCAACCAAAACAAATGGTTCCGAAAAGGTGCCTTTTGGTTTACTTCACTGCACTTGGATTACCTGTTAGTTTGCTAGCGGTGGTATTCTATCGGAGACATATATCGGCGACTTTTAAGTACTTTAGGAGGGTTCACACATTTGGCGCCAATAATATAAATATATATGATTAAAACCCTTGTAGTTTAGATCCCTATTCAATCTTACATGTATAGAAAGCCTACGGATAGTCCCCGGATGTCACCATATCCCGGCTCTGTCTTACCCGCTGATTCGGCTTAGCGGCCGGGCGGGACCCTCAAATATTTCCGCCGCTAGCCCCGTAAAGTCTCCGACCGGAAGACCCACTTATCGGAGCCCACGATAGCTTGAAGAATGAGCATTGCTTTGTAACATGTACTGATGTGTCACGCTCTCCCGAAAATGAGGATTAAAAGACAAAGAATAAATTATCATATGAATCCAAGTACATATACATAGTAAAGGCTAAGAATCCCCTGCTTTGGTCCCTAAAAACGGAAAATCTGTCTCATGGCGCCACCAGCCATGATCATACCGCCACAAACTGAGCCCTAACGCTCTTCCCGGACACCCTTCGAGATGAAATCTGCGGCGTAGCTCCTCGAGACACCGCGCTACCACCTCCGGATCATCTACTTTATTCATCAACGTGTAGTGGCCACGGAACGCACCACGGTCCTGTCGACTTAGCACGTCACACCACTTCTCCTGGAGCTCCCTTACTAAACCCTCTGCTGGCTCGAGACCCAGCACCGGAATCGCCACGCCTCCGCGTCCCATCGGGGTCGGCGGGCCCACGGCTCGGATCCCAAAGGGCGTTATGCGTGCTGCTGCTGATGTGATGTCTGTCCTAAGAGATGGAAGCGCAGAACCTGGTAAAGCGCGAAATAGAGAGATATGTGCGCCCACGCGGAGAAGGGAGGGCGGGAAATACCGCTTGCGCAGAGCGCATATGGCTTGATGATGTGCGGTGTCTGTTTGCAAAGTTAAGACGTAATATGTCTCTTCTCCCTCAGGTACGTTGGTTTTCGGCCTATGAGTCTCCCGTCTTCGATGATGGGTTACTGTGTCTAAGTGCGAAGAGGCGGAACCCACCACGATTGTTGGCTGATTCGTTAAGGATGCTTGTGATATGGCCTTGGGGCTTATTCTTCCAGCCTTTAGGAGGCAGGGAGATATAATCATTGGCGAATAGTAATTAGATAGTAATTATAGTAAGGAGTACTCGAATGTGTGTGCATATTACTATTGTATTCTCTCGTTTCGTAGCCGATTAGTGTGTCAATAGATCATGAATCGCTATGACGTCAACGAATAGCTTTATACAAATATTTACCATTAATAAATTTCTTTAGATTTTGGCTATAATGTCTCTTGCTTGGGTACATTTTACAACATCGATCACTTATAAATCCCATTTTCATAAAAAGGGATAAGATGCATCTCAGAAAATATGATTAAATAAATACTATATTTAATTACCTGATCGCTATTCTAACAGGCTTTCCTCTCCGCCCTTTACGGGGGAGTAGGCGTAACAGTTGTGCTCTGGAAAGTCGCGCAGCTAGCACCTGTGGTATCGACAACCATCTGAGCGGCATCGTCATGGCCCTGAGCACAAGCGCCACTAGGAGCCCGCAGTGCCGTGCCGTCAAATTGCACAAGCTCGATGTTTGAGGCGGCGCAGTCCTCAGCTCGGAAGTGTGTGCCGTTAAAACCGACGCAGGCATTAACGCCGACAAGGTCCGGGCGGAACCCAGCTGTGAAGCTACGCTGTACGCTTAGGACGGAGTTGCCATTTAGCGTCGTCGGTGTAATTTGTCGGTCGGCTGCGGTATTGACACAGGCGGCATCGACAATCTCACCTGTGGTAGTTTGTAAGTAAGTAGGGTAAAAACTAGAGGGCGATTGTATCTGCTCGCTAGAAATAACTATATATGATGGAAAACATACCATTATTGCGGAATGTAAGACATTCGTTGCCCGGTACGCCGTTGACTTCTTTCAGGACAAGAGTATTGCCGGCAGCAACACCGGTAGTAACACCGTTATTTGTATTGCCAGTAGCGGCGCCTGCGTTAGAGTTGCCTCCTTGTTTTGCCTTACTAGCTTTCCCATTTCCATTTCTGTTACCCTGGCTGTTTGCTGGCCGGCCTGCGTGGTGTCTGGCTAATAAGGATGATGCCTCTTCTAGGTTGGTGGACCTCGCAGAACCGACATGCATGCGGTCAATAGCAACAGCTGACACGGAAGCAGCGAGAAAAAATACGTTGATGAACTTCATGGTGAACGGATAGATCTAACTTGGTGGCAAAAAGATAATTATATATAGCAAAAAAAAAAAAAGATGGTATGGCACAGCCAAGAAGAAGTAAATAATAATGAGAATATTAAAACAAGTGTCCGTCAAGGACTGAATGATATAGATGAAGCTCTGGATTACAGAGATTGATATGAACTATTTATACAAATGATCGCCATGACAGTGGAGTAAGATATATCCATAGCTTCGGGTTTTGGATCGCCAGGCACAACGGAGAACACAGTTAGTTAAGCTCGTCTCATCTTAGCTTGCTATTAATTTTCCCAGGACGGTCTTGGGTAGGCGACGTCTCACGATGCTTGTGAAGCAGGGAGTGAATTCTTAGCACGTGGAAATTCCCTGCCTCATCCCTGGTTAGCTCACAAAATGATGAGACGATTTACCCCCTGCCCCGCGACGCTATGGCGGGAGGATACGAATATGCAATATCCTAACCGCACTCCCTGCGCGGATCGATCTAACCGCATCGATCAAGTTTCATCGTCTTGTAACATAGGGGGGAGGGGGGGCTTAAGGTAAGCAGAGTATTCAGGAGGCCGAGGAAAATATGGAACTAATCTTTCTTATTTCATCAAATTATCGAAAGTGGGGGGAAACAAGTCGTTCAATTATTAGTTCTCTCTATTAAGAAGTTTAATCTAGTCATACGTGAGGGATATTACAATGACTGATGACAAGATGTTGCCTCACTGGACATGAACAAATTTCACTAGAATATTCACCTTAATAGAATAGTACTTTTAGCTATCAGCGAGACGACCTATTATCGTTAGGGGAAAGGGTAAATGAGACGAAGTTCCTGGCATTGAATGTAATATTTCAACAGCTCGTCATAGAATACTAACCTAGTGGCTTTAGATGTATTGAGGAGATCAAGAGTTTTGCATCTTAATTGAAAGATAGCCGACGATTTTAATTGCAGCTGTTAGGACACACGGCTAAAAGTCACCCCTAAGGGTTACATACCTGTCTTGGAAAGCGATTAAGAAGCAGTGAACAAGATGAGCCTTAGCGAAAGCTGGTTATACTCATTAGTAGAACGCGCTGCTCTGAGTTTTATATCAGCCAACACCTCCTGCTCTAGATACTCGGAACATCGAGCATATCTTGGTATAAGGTAGAAAGGTACCTATCCATGTAGTTCGTGAATATTTGCGATGTAAGTATCTGAATCTATATTATATTTACCCATATCATGTAATTTTACGTACACCATGAGCCAGCTACCAGTCATAAGTGACGAGTATGTGATACGAAATAAGGTGACTGAGATAGTTAGACAACATCTAGATATATTTACTGACCATCATTACTGAGATGGGATTCAAACTAACCTTATATAAACACCAAATTATCCCCTTGATCTTGTTTCTCTTGTCAACAGCATCATCATCTCTTCTAGCATACCTACCTAGTTTCGCCAACCAAGTTAGATTCCTCAATACCGCATCATATCTTCCAGATATAAAAACTATACTTCAAAATGGAGATCATATCCTGTTACCATTGCGGTACGAAATACTCGGACACCTGGAAAGACGACTGTATCGAGTGCCATGCAAGTCCATTCATGGCATGCAACTATCCCAAGTGCGGCGAAGGTGCCGAAAAACATACACCAGTGAAAGAATAGGGCTATTATCTTATTCCATCCGCAAATCTCCTGTTTAACGCAGCATTATATATTGTTGAGAAAAGGCTTGTCCCTAGAAAACAATATAGAGACGCCTAAGCTAGCGAGCGTTATTATCGAATGACAATTTCGATTTCAAATTATCAGGAGATTAGCGGTCAATTATCAGCATGGTGCTGTTAATACTGCATCTTTTATTTACCCTCAAAACCGATGGTCGTCTTAGAGAGGGAAAGGAGACTATGGGAGGATGGGTTTGGTTCTGCGTTGATCATTATATCTAGATAGATCAATATATTGTTCCGTTTCCTCGACGAGGCGGGCAGTACCTAAAACAACCCTTTCAACTATTCTATTATGAACGAATATTCCTCATATTATCATACGTGAACTAATAGATATACCATGTCCCTAGAAACGGCATTCTGATCTATTAAATCTGAATAACAAACTGAATAACGGACTCTACCTATCCTTATATGAGCAATAGGCTTATAAGACCAAGATCTTTCGTCATTCTCTTGTGGGAAACCAAGCTATTTCCTCCTACCAGCTTCAAGGTCCGCCGCAGTCTTTTTCTCTTTCTTTCTTTCAGCTTTCGCCTTCGCCTTGGTATGCGCTTCAGCTCTCCATTTTGGCCCAAACATCATCACGGCCCAGAGCAAAGGGCTGAACAGAATCCAGAGGAAGGCGACTAGCGTGCCGGTCCAACCTATGCCGATGCGGTCAATGAGAGGATTTGCGATGGCGGTAGCGCCTGCGCCCAAGAGGCAGCGGAACAAATTATTAGCCGCCACAGCGGTAGCCGGCGTCTCCCTGTTTATGTCCACTACCAGTGTGTTAAGCGAGCTGAAGGCGCCCGTTACTAAATGCCCCGTGAAAAAGAGCATAACAAGGGGACCGGCTAGATTGGTCTTATAATACATGACCCAGGAATATGCAATAATGGCGAGACATGCTGCATATATAATCGGGATAGATATCTGAAGTCGGGCGAACTCTATAGGAAACTTGCTAATATCTTGTTGCCGGTTTTTGATAATAGCTAAGCCGTGAAGACGTGCAAGCCGGTGGAAGTTTTTATCAAGGATGCGGCCCACCGTCCAACGAGAAGTCAGGCTACCCGCTCCAAATGGTAGGTAACATAGTCCAATCGTCAACGAGTCGAATCCGTATCTTTGCTGTAGTTGTGTTGATAGAGTGCTTAATACTATGAAGTAGCCAGAATACAGCAGTGCGCCATACCACAAGATCATACCTGCTTCTTTTTGGGCTGCGATCTTTATTGAAGTTAAAGGATTAGGACGCTTCCGAATTTTCTGTATGGTTTGTACGTCGGCTTCCGGATTATCTCCTCTTTTGCCTCGCTGCCGAAAATATTGCCATAACGAGAGCTGCCATGTGGGTGGCGATATAGATCCATTGCCCACAACTGCTCGACAGGTCTCTGGCATGGCAACGATGATAATCGCAAAGAAAACCCCAGAAAATATCGTGAGAAACCAGAATATAGACCTCCAGCCAAGGTAGTAATCAAGCAGCCCTCCAATGATAGGTCCTAAAACAGGTCCTAACGTCACTCCCATAGATGCGTAGCCAATGTATTTACCGCGCTGTGCTCGCGTCGATACATCGGCAACTACCGCACTGCCTAGGGCAATAGTCGCACTACTGCCAGAGCTTTGAAGACAGCGAAGTACCATCAGAGCAGCGTAGCTATTTTGCAAAGCCAGACCGATGTTGGCACATATGTAGACAGAAAAGCAGATGATGTAGGCTGGGCGCCGCCCACTTATGTCTGAGAAATTTCCGATGAGGGAGGGAGCTATCCCTTGGAAGATCTAGAAATCGTATAAGCGTTACACTTGACCGGATAGAAGAGAACTGGTGATTCTCTTACTTACCATGTATGTAGTAATTGTTAATGTGATTAAGGACACCGACACGTGAAGATCGGTTGCAAGCGAGTTTAGGGCCGGAAGATAGATGCTACTGGATATTGGCGAAATGATGGCGGCGAAAGAAGCAGTAATGATAACCGAGATCTTAACAGGCTCACTGAGAACACTATATGGAGGTTCAGGCGGATCCTCCTCAGGAGCAACATGGTTTCCTCCAGTGCTGTTCTTATCAACTTCAGTTATATCTGAAGACTCGTGTGAAGGTTCTAGAGGAATATCGTCGGTTTCGTGGGGATGTGAGGTTGGTTTAGATGGTTGGTGAGCAAAAGACTCAATAGTGTACGCTACATTGTCTCTGGTATTATGATCTCTGTGTTCCTTACTAGCTTCGTGACTTTGGCCCTCTGTTGGGCCGGTTGTTGGTGAAGACATGTATCGACTATGCGTTTGAGAGGGTTGACAGCGTCGAATTATATAATTATAAGTAGCGTAAGCTTTGAATAGTAATTTTCTATCTACCACGTGTAAAAACTTGGGGCTTGTGGTTTATTTTATTTCATACGCTCATTCCTATATATATAACGTGTAGTTAGCAATATACTTGAATTATCGGAGCCGACGCGCTTAACTTTACAGAACCGTTTGAGGAGTACCTGTTATGTTGATTGAATTTCATTGGCTGGAGTTAGTAGTAGTTTTCCTTAATAGGCATTTATGAACTTTTCCTTAAGTCTTTATTCGTCTATTTTGGTGGGCCGTTGTAACGTTTAGATATATCAATTCCCTCCTTGTTTCTGGTCGGCGAAAAACGGAACCGAACCATTATCAATAGACCAGAATCATTATTTACCGCTACTCATCGTATCTGTTAGAAACCTACATGCCTAACCCTACAGTAAACAAGCCCATGTAATATTTAAGGTTAAAGGAGAGGGAAATCGATGATAGGCTTAGGACTCTAGAATAAGCTTGCTTCATACTATATATCACACCCATATAAGACTTTCAAGTTCTAGGTAGAGAGTAGATATAACCTAATATTAGATTATAAGAAGAGTTAGTTATTTGCTATGTCGTAACTCTAAAGACATTACATAGGCGCATATATATACATAAGGTAGGTAGGTATCCGGCTATTATGACCGGACAGATCACACAAACCCAAGTCAAAGCCAAACGAGGTTGAGTATAATATATCAAATTTTATAGCCCGAAACCCAAATACGAAGCGAGTGTGTTATATACAGCCAAGTCCTATATTTGCCGCCACCAAGTCCCTATCCTTATACCTAACCCTATCCCAATACCCCCGCCAAGATCCAATGCAAAATTTACATGAAAGAATGAGAAGTATGTTTTTCCAGGTTAGCACCAGGCCATGCCTCCAGTGTATGCCATCCACTTCTAATCTATAAATACATATCGATTCATTCATTAAAGCGATGCAACGATGTTGTGAACGAATGAGTTGCAGTTGTTGGTTTGGACGTTGTAAGTCGGGTGATCATGAATCCAGTCCCGCGCATTTCCTTGGACCGTATCATGCTTTCTCTTGTTCGTCTCACCACCGAAGCGGATCGGCTTATGGTCGCTATCCTTCTTATCCCAGGTATTCATTTTGAGTATGGACTTGCCAGACGCGTCCTTGGCCATGTGGTATAATCTAGCCTCGAAGTTCTTCTTGAGGGTAGGCTTCTTTTTCGTGCCGCCTTCTTTCTCGGTTACTTTGCCGACTATAATTCCGATATGGTCGAAGCCCAGAGTGTCTCTCAACTGCTCTACCTCGGCCTTCGTCTCGTGGTCCCCGTCGATCAATGACCCGCGCGGCCATGTTACGTAAAAGTAATAGTAGTGGTCTTTCTTTAGATTCGAGTGCTTGGCTTTGATAGCCTCGTACTCCTTTGACTCTATCACAGTCGGAGCACGAGCAACTAGCTGTGCGCTCTCTACTGCATTGTCAGTGCGAGTGACGAGCTCTGTGTTCTCAGCCGGGTTGGATATGGTAGCAATGGGGCTAGCGGCGGCTAAGGTAGCCAAGAAGGCAGAGAATAAGTAGGTGAACTTCATCGTAGATTGAAATGAGCGTAGTAGAAAAATGTAAAGAGTGTCTGAGGAAATGAATGCTCGTCAATATGGAAGTAAGTTGACGATGGTGATTGATACTTTATTAGTTCGAGTTATACAATGAAGGGAGGTATTAGAGAATATATACTTTTTCCTTCTCTCTACGTAGGTATCCGCTATATCTTTGAAATATTCATTTCTCTATTCCCCTCGTGGGTTTACTCCCCCGGAATCATCGGCAGCTTGGACTATAACTGATACACCTGCTCCTGCTCAACTTAGACATGATATGAAGTATCCTAGGAACTAGCATAGTACCATGCTAGTACGCTGATGATTGAACCACGAAAGACTGTGTGTTTCATATGTGCTATTTGGGTAAAGAGCCACGAGTACTATTTTAAGCGTGCGCTGAAGATTAACCGTTGGTCGATAGAGTACACGGCCGGTAAGCCGAGAAGGATTGTTTCCATGTATCATGGGTGAAAAGGAGCCTCACGGCTTTTTTCAACTACCTAATGCGGGCGGACGGCAACCCAAAGAGAGGTAACATTTAGGGCTGATCATCGTCAACGGGTATCCACTGAGGGGGAGATTTCCGATTTGGGAGTGCGTGCCTCCTGTTTAAGGTAGTATATGTAGATGGGTTAGGGGAAAAGGCGTTTGCCGTAAGAAGCGCATAGTTTTGTAGTGATATGAAACATTGTGGCGGTTTTGACTTGATCAGACATTCCAATCCTATATGATGAACCCGGCGATGAAATTCATAATGTTCACGTAATTTTGTCGAACTGGTAGTAGAATAATTATCTGCTGCACCAACATTCTCTGTAACCACCTACAATCACCTACAATGTTCTCAACCGGGTTAAGTGTGAAATTATCTTAAGTTACCTGTTATTCTAAACATTATTCTAAACATAGATATCCTTTATTGCTGTTGGTTGGTAAGTTCTCATGTTTAGCTGCCCGCGCCTCTCCAGGGCATGTGGCGTACAAAGCAACATCTTCATCTACCTGCCTTTTTGGGTAATATGCGTAGGTCCTCTGTCGAGTCAGTCATTTATACCTCCTAATGGTGAGTTATGTATGCAACGTCATCCAGGCCTCTTAAGATAGTTGGCTTGATTATGAAGTCATTTTTAATTCCACACGTTAATTACCTATTTAGACTTATATATCTTAGATAGGTACATCATATATGTTATGAATAGGTACACTACGCCAAATACACAAGCAGGTATATGGGCTTTAACAATTAAGTAGGTACCTAAGGTACCTAGGAATTTGGGGCTGAACTTACTGCCGATCATTGGATCTGGATCCTTGGTCTGGGAAAAGGGTGCTAAGCTTGCTAAAAATAACCCCTGAAGCCTTACATTATAGAGCTAGGTCGTGCAATGTCTAGAACTTTGTTCCTGATCATAGCTCTTAAGTACCTTGCTAAATGTCACTTAAACACCACGGGTCACATTGTCTCAAATAAACTACTTTCTCCCACTTATACAAAGTGGCTTGCATTAAGTCTAGTTATATTTTCTCTTGCATTGGCGAATATAGTATTTTCTAATCTGGCGGACTATCTCGTTATAACTAAATAAAGACACCTATACATTGAGCTGAAGTTGTCACGTATGTAGGTAGATAGGTACATATAATACCGAAGTTACGGAGTTGTAAAAACAAATAATTAGCTATTCCGACTCTCCCCCTTTTCAATTATATTCCCACCATTTCTCCCCTTAGCATCCTATTCTATTGTTCAATTCGATACACACAATGGAGAGAGACTACGACCAGGAAAAAATTGATAGGTGGATTGCGCAGGGTGAGATGAGAAGAGACCGCATTATGTCACGTCTCGACAGTGTCGTCCAGAGTGGTGCACTCAATTTAGAAGACGAAAAAGCCCTTCGAGCTACTTTCGCATCGGCTTCCAGCCGCGCTCCCTCAGGCGATGGCGACGTCTTGACCGAGTTGGCCTTCATCTCTCTTCTACAGTCTAAGGCTGGCCTTCCCCGAAATCTCGAAGGCGCCGAAGCTGGGAAGATTGTTTATGAGATGCTCGTTTACCTTAGCACTTTACCATTTCCTGCGCAGCCGCATCATCTTCAACTAGGGGGTCTCACCTTGGCGCAGATTACTCGAGCCTTAGCCTGGGCGCTGTCGGATAGGACTAAGTATATATTTGATGAGAGTAACCACTCGCGGATGCGAACGCGATCGGACCATAAACGCCTACTCTTTCAGAGCCTAGCCGACGGTACTGTTCCCACTACGATGCTTGATGAGGTGCGGCGGCGTGTGAACGAGCTCGCTCACCGCAACCTTTTCGATGTTGACGAGTTCTATCATGATCTTTGCGGGCTGAACAACGACGCTGATGGCGACGAGATTTATCATGACCTATTAGAAGTAATATACTCGGCACAGGAGGAAGTACCTATAGGGCTAGCGAACGTGCCGCGGGATAAGTTCCGGGCCATTGCAAAACAGATCAAAGTAGACGAGAATCTGCCAGAGTTGCATACTCTTTCGATCTCCGTACCACGGTTCGAGGCATTTGTGAAGGTAATGTTGGCGCTACAGTTCGAGCCTGTCACTTCTGAACAGGATGCTGTTGAGCCATCACAGTTCGAAGACGCGGCACGATGCATCTGTACCTCCTTTATACAGGACCAAGATGAATCACAAGACTTAAACACGGGGTCATCTGGAGTTATAACCTGGCCCTCATATTATCAAGCCTTAGAAACATCTTCGCCGTACCTGCTCTACCCCTTCTACCGGCTTCTCACACTCGCTCTTCTAGATAAGCCGGGCACTTTCGATATTCTCGATTCATCCGAACCTATTCCTCGCATCCCAGCTGATGCGGTGCTCACTCGATCGCGAGCGAGTCAGCTCAATACATTCCTCGCTCATTCCGCTTACGGTCCAGATTTACGTCGTATGAAATGCTACGTGCCATCAAACTTGCCTACACCAGCATTCCTTGCACAAGCCATCCAAGACGTACCTGACGAGGCCATTGTGCTGTTTGCCGGCCAGACCACAGGTACCGGGCCGACAAAGGGGGAACTCTGCGTCTTTGGACTGTTCAGTCCGAAGCCCAAAGAGGACCGCTCCCATATTCTAGCTCGTGCAGACTTCAGGCCTAACGCCGAGGGACAACAGCAGTGCACGTTATTCCAGCTTGCGCCCAGACAAGACTTATACCAGGGGGTCGCTGGGGCAGCGGGATGGAGTACCGCCGTCGATGCTGACGGTAGTGAGAGTGTCATATTTGGACGTGCTACTAGTATTAACGAGAAAGAAGCGGAAAGGGGGGGAGTAGTCCTCATACTTCGGGATGGGTTGAGACGCGGGGAAGTTAGACACCGGGGTAGAGGCATCGACGTGGATATAGATTCTGGCGCAGACAGCCAAGCAGGAGAAGTGACTTACAGGGCAAACCTAAGTCGTGGTGATTGGGTACTAGATTTTGACATCGATCAAATTGAGATCTGGAGTGAGATTGACGGTGCCGAGTCCAACTAGGGAATCGGGAACAAACCTACCACAGCCTATTTAGTCCAAGCGATTCTACAAATCTGGAAGGAAAATGATGGACGAAATAGTGCGAATACTGTATTTAGCTGTATTAATGCCGAAAGATATCTAAACGGTGGCATTCAGGTGTAAAATGCCTGGTTAGGAAAGGGGTGCAAAATCGGTATATTAATTGCCAATACATGTCTATCGAATAAGTCGCACTGCAATCTCTACCAAATTACTCACCAACTAAACGCCTCGTCGACTAGCGACTTACCCCCAAAAAGATGCACACGGCCGGTACGGGCTGGAATCACAGCCAAGATTCTCACACCTCCAGCAATGAGGATGCAATTTGGGACTACATGAAGTTCATCGAGTGACGTAACGACATAAGAGGCCTCGACCAGAACGGGTAACGTCTTCTTTTTTAAAGAGAGCGACGGTCAGACCTTTTCCAGCAGTACTAATAAAGAATGTTAAGCCTAGCTTGAACGATTGGCTCATGGTCTGTAGAGAGGTTGAACCGCCTGGATCGACGGCGGCAGTGGTGGACATGTGAGCTGATGCTTTCTATATATCACCTGAAGATATCCTAGTGTCTTCACTGGACGTGGCCACACTAGATGCTTTTTGTATCTCATCAGCCATCATAGTTCCCAGCACGGAGAACGGATGATTCTCCCATACCAGCCAAGTGAGAGTAGGGAAATATAGATATGCATGGCCCTGTTCAGTAATGTTTGAAATATCAACGCGGATATAGTCTTCGTCTATAATACTAACTTGGGCTTTCCTTACTCCATTACGCGCGAGTCGAGCAAAGCGCATAAGTCTATCAAAAGCCCAGAAAGCGAAGGCGATATACACCCATGTCTCGTACCCCCACTGGTTCATATATCGGTGGTAGACGTGGAAGTAACGGCCGATCAAAGCGACAAAAGCGAAAGCGAAATGGGAAGTGAGGAAGAGGCTATAGAACTTCCGCCGTGACGGAAGTGAGCTTGTGGTAAGTTGATCCAATAATTTTCGAGATTAGAGATAGGAGTACCAGAGCGGTTCGTGGCCGCCGCTAACGAAGCGACTATAGGGATGATTAAACTGACCTTTACATTGCCGGCTCGGATTCTAGGCGGAACTAGATCGAAATAGATAAGTCGAAGAAAAGGGGCTAGCCTATCATGAAGGAATTAAGCTATGGGATAGGAATCTTATTTTCCTGTTCTCCTTTTTTTCCAAGAAAAAAAAAAAGAAGTCTTACGATTTAGCCAGCTTAGTCTAGGAGTGTCGTGATGCTATGGTAGATGGTGACTAGCATATCTAGGTACCTACCTAGGTATACGATTATATTTAATAGTAGTCCAAGCCCAAATACTTGTGCTTTTACGCCCACATGCGTTCATCACCACAACTTTAGACCAGATTGAGTGAAATGGATAGTTCCCTGTCAAATGTGACCTTATTTTTGTCCAGCTTAAATAAATACGTCAACTACCTGTTTACCTAGGTGGGCTGTTTATTTTACCATGTCGTATTTTCAACACTTGCCAAAATCTACTTAATGTAGTTATCTCTAATCGCAAAGAGAATCTTCATGATGATCTACATTAGTTGTACTACAAACGAGCATGTTTGCCTCGTCCTGCTTGGCCTATAATATGTGTCGTACGGGGAACCCTCCTCACCATTACGGTACTTAACTACCTAAAGTTTGACAGTATATACAATTACATCGTCTTACCTGTTAATCTCTAATGCATAGACTGATAGTGTCCTTTCATCGTTATGCTTAACTACAAGAGATTATGATAATTGACAGAAACTGTAAATTATAGTATAGTTCGCCAAGCTAAGTTGTCGGTTATGTGTTGGGTTATTCACGATTGATTATTAAATGAGCTGTATTTTCATAACGTCATTTAATCTTTGGGGGTCTCGATGAAGCTATTATTGACTTATAGTGATGATACTACCGAAGTTGCGTTTATGGTATAAAGCATTGCAAGTTAGTGAGCCATGGAGGTTAGGCAAACTTGACGGAGTCAAACAAGGTCACCTACTATATATGTAAAAGTCGATGAACCGCACTGTGATAATAACTCTAGCTTCATTGCGGTCAACTTCCGCACAAATAGAGGGCCTAGCACGCATTCATTTACGACCGAACAACTTACCCATTGCATCACGTAACATCTAGTTGACTCATCATAGTATGTGTGGTCAAGTTTAGCCCCTGAAGTTGGGCAAAAGTAACCGAATTCACCCACCTATGCCGAAGCAATACAAAGGCAATACAAGCTTAATTTGTTCCTCACTTATCGCACTATTATGTTAGACAAATGTGCAATAGGAATGGTTAAGTTTGATGCTCGTCGCATTCCTTAACGAGATCCGCTCTCATATAGTTATGATAAGTTATTGTAGAATATGAGGATCGGGCTTAAAGACAAATTAATACCAGGTACCTAAGGCTGCTAAATTCTAGAACAAGGATCTAGAATAAGGGTCTGGAACAAGAAAGGGATAACCACAGACGCTAATTACATGTATCTGACGTGGCGTACTGCTGTGTAACCCGCAAACGAAAGACTGACATCATACGGGGTTAAGAGGCAGCTACGGTCAGGGTTATCAGATATAAGTCTGTAAGTCTGATATGCAGTACATAACGGGGTCGTAAACTGAAGTGCCGGAGTTTAAGGCGGATCTTAGGTACCTTAGGTAAGTTTAGGCATATAAGATCTCCCGTCCCACAGCTGGTAACCACGACTGGTAACCAATAGATTACCAGATAAATAGATACCTAATCTCAGAATCTAGAGCGTTTGGGACTATCAGTCTATCGGCCACGTGGGGCTTGTGTGTCGTGGGGACCCCTCTAGCGCTTTCTCTAATGCAGGTGTCTTTTCTTTTTTTGATTTATCGTTTGGAATTCTTCATCTCTTCTTGTTTGTACCGTTTTCATATAAGTCATCTTTGGGACTTATTTCTTCACCTCATCCAGAAGCAAATTCTAACTGATTGGTGTTGCCCATTTCAATTCCCAACTGCGTCTCCAGAGTTTACCAACCCCATACAGATATCAGCCACGGACACTAACATCTCCTTCAAGTACGAGCTATCCTGTCAGTACTTAAAGACAGCATGTCCTCCAATAACCAGGAAGGCATTGGTAAGTGAAACATCTTATAAAACATTAGGCGAAGTAGGTTCAATTAACCAGGCTACATTCGCAGAGCCCGGTGTTGTAATAACTCCCAAGGTCTCTGAACCATGGGCGGTCGAGAAGGTGCTAGCACAAATTCACCCCGAAGCCCCTGTCGAGGGATCGAGCTCACCAGTTCCTTTCTTTCATATCCTCGAGCGGTTAAAGACGGGCAAGCGAGAAGGATGGCGGCGGTTCGGTATCAACAGGTAGAGCATTCCTCTCTCCTAACTAGATAAGAAATTAGTCGCTTACAACAGGACTAGAGGCGAATCGATCGCGGATCATATGTATCGCATGTCCTTAATGACCTTCCTATGCCCCCCTTCGCTTGCATCTAAGCTCGATCTCAATAAATGCATGAAGATGTGCCTCATTCACGATATGGCCGAATCGATCGTTGGGGACATTACACCGGTAGATGGTGTCCCAAAACCGGAGAAAAGCCGTCGCGAGGCCGAGACAATGGACTATATTTCTAAGAATTTATTGGGCAAGGTGTACGGAGGGGTTGCGGGACAGGATATCCGAGCAATCTGGCAGGAGTACGAGGACTCCAAAACACCCGAAAGTCTCTTTGTCCACGACGTGGACAAGATGGAATTATTGTTGCAGATGGTGGAGTACGAGAAGCGGGCAGATAAGCGCCTGGACCTGGGCGAGTTTGCTTACGTTGCGACCAGGGTTGTACTTCCGGAAACGCAGGAGTGGGCAAAGGATATCCTTAAGGAACGCGACGAGTTCTGGGGTTCGGCACCGCATGTTCACGGAGAAGCCGGTGTGAATGGCGGTGTGGAAAAGACGACGACACAGGATCAAGATGCCTACTACTCCAAAGAGGAGAGATAAAACAGGAGATGGTTTGTTATGGCGGTAAGCAAAGCATATTGCAGTATCGCGGTATTGTAGTCTTGCGCCGATATTGAAAGATTCTTAGTCTTTTACGCATTTTGCTTTATGTCAGGTATGAAGCATTATCACATTATCACATTATCATGGCAGGTAGAATGGGAATAGGGGTTTTGGGATGGCATACATACCTCACTAGAGAATGGAGCATATGGTTATGACCAATAATGATAGAATATTGCAACGCTGCCGACCGCTTGTTTTATTTCGCCGGTGAGGATGCGCGGGGAGAAAAAAAAAAAAAAAAGACTTCAATGTACATTTAGTTGGGGACCCGCTGTATTAAATCCGGTACCCGGGACTGGACACCCGGGGTTGGCTCCTTGGCGACCTGGCAACCTGACAACTGCTGTTCTATTGACTTTTCAAGCTGTTTTTCTTGACCTAGCAACGGGTGTAATGATTAAACTTAATAATTACAACTTTTGGAGAATTAAAGGTGCAGCGCTTAAACACTTATTTACCCAGGTATTATTTTACAAGATGTAAAAGTCTTATCAGTATCTTTAAGCTGTACTTATTAAAGTTAACTAGCTTATTAAAGTTTAGGAGGTAGCTAAGCCATTTTCCAGCCACCCAGGCAGACAACTTTAAAAGTTAGTAAACAGGGGTCCATGAGCTAGCTACATAATGAGCTGTAGAGTTAAGAGCTGACTTACTATTGGTCGCTAGGTCCCCAAATCCCCAAGTCCAAATCCTCGTCCCCAACCGCGTGCCAGTCTACACCACGCGAACTTTAACAAGAAAAACAGAAAAAAAAAGAGGCTTGTGATCACGAGCACCAAAATTCATCCCACCCTTTTTACATCATACCGTACCTATTTCTTCCTGCTTCGCATACTATGAGATAACCTTCGAGCACAATAGATGTGTAAAGCTAGGTACATCAAGGGTTAAGACTCGTCCAATATCGACAAAGGCACCAATAGCTCTTATTGATAAGCGCTTTGAGTATCTTTGGACAAGGCGAAACAACGCATTGTTGGGAAATTTCGTAATGGTGAGATAACAACCGGATTATCTTACTATCTCATCTTTTCAAAGAGCTTCGAGGTTACAAAGTTACGCCAATCTTTCTCTCTTAATATATTTCCATCCACTACACTCGCTATTCCATTCAATCCAATATTGGCTTCAACTTATTCGTTTCAACACTCGTTTTTACTCGGTCGCATTCGTTTCGGCTCTTTTGCCTGCGTCTCAACATGTCTTTCGGGCCGCGGGTCCTTATGCCGGGCGCATTTCACTTCGAAACTCTTAACGATGGTAGCTCCTTATCTGGTGTTCATTCGGGAATGTTTCGACCTTCTATATCGCCCTCCTCTTCGAGCTCCCTATATCTAGGTAAATCTACCAACAGCTTACACTCGGATGCATCAACAGTAGGCCTTAATGCGAAGAGGAAACGGAGGGTGGGTCGCGAGTCTAGACTATTCAATAGCTGGGGTACAAACAGAGGCGATGCAGCATCTAATACCGATAATAAACACCAGGAAGAGGCCGAAGTCAACTGGCTGGTTGCGGGGGAGGGGAGGAAATATGTTCTAGACGATCAAAGCGAGGCTCCGAATGGAGTAGCTCCTGGGACCTTCATGAATGCCATGGAAGATAGCGTCTACTCCGACGTCAATTACAGGCGCGCCTTAGGCCCTAAATGTGCGCCCGAGAAGATCGAACGGTCCGATATGAATGCTGCATCTTCTATATTGTCATCATCACCCTCTCGAACGCGGCAAACGAACGGATGGGGTTCTATTGCTTTGAGTACTATAGGCGGCGTCGTTGGAAAAGTATTTCAATTCTGTAAAACGGGTATGTTCCGTGGTTTCTATGCAGGTGGAGGTAGAGGATACGGAATAAAGACACCACCTAGACAACCATCCAGACAATCATCAACTACAAACGGTCAGATTTGGTGTAACGAGCATGATATTCCCACCCTTCCAGATTTCGGCTCCAGCACAGCACCAATCGAAATCCCCCAGTCGCACTATTTCCCACCTAGTTATGGGCAAGAATCACCGGAATCCTCGCCCTCTCCCGCGGCAAAACGGCGACAGATCGATACCGGAGCTCCTGGAGATGAACTGCGCCGGAATTGGGTCATGGTCCGGGAATCTCCTGAAAAGACGCGACCGCAGAGCAGAGCTTCTCAAGCATCAACAGTCCGTCCATCTCAACAGCAAATATTCCCGCCCGTTCTTCGTCGACGTATTAGTCGACCCGTGAGCCGCGTAAATGCACCTAGCCACACTCGTCGTCAGTCTAATAGGATAAGCCATGTCGGAACTACGCCTGTATCCAATAATGAGCCGGCAAGCTTTGCCTCCCCTCGAGCTCAATCACCAGCCGTATCATTGCATACTCCTAGTAGAATCCCCGTCCCAAGTCAACCGCAATCACCTAGCGTCTTCTCGGCCTCTCGTATTCCACAACCAGCTTCTCTTATTCCCAGTCCTAGTATTCACCCGAGGCGTAGTCACGGGAGAAACCATAGTACGGCATCAGCGGCATCTGGTACGTCCTCTATCAGGATAAGAAGAGGTGAATCGACGCAAGAGCTTAAAGACTACAGCCCTCGACTAGATGACGAGGCGAAGAACCTGGCTGCTAAGAGACTCCAGGAGGAAATGGAAACTGACATGCGCATGAATGACTTCAACGCTCGGTTAAGGGATATGATCCGCCAAGGAAAAGAAGCACTCGGGACGAAAGTAGATGTCGAGATACATGACGATATGGAGGGCGTGGATACTTGGGAAGACGCATAAATGACGAGGCAAAGGCGCGACCGTTCAACGAATTTCCTTTTTTTTCAATTACAACTATGGATATGGCTACAAAACCGATGGCGTGGCTCAAGTCCACTAAAAGGGCGTTTAGGGATATATTCTGTTTCTGTTTTGGGTGCAACGATTCAACGCCAACTTGATACCAGTTTCATGTTTTTTTTTTTTTTTTTGCGTTTATTGGGATTACAGCACCTTATATTTAGATATGATCACAGGTCTAGGACATAGGAGGATCATTCGTACAAATGCATAATGACCACGTTACTAACTACTGAATGAATGCCTGATGTTATCAACTTATCACCAAAGACCTCGGAGTCCGTATGTTGTGGGATAATTGCGTGTGTTCGATTGCCCCTATTCTTCGTCACGCCCCCCTATGTATTTGGTAGTGGTTATTAATGACCCAGACTACCTTGGCTTGAACTTGGTTTACATACTAAGATTTTTTCAAGGTACATTTGACCCATCTCCTAAGGGGTAGAGATTAACTAATAGAAATCCTATCCAGTTTTCCCCTAACCAAGTAGAAACGCTGCTTGGAAGTAGGTAACTAGGCCCCAAAACTTATCCAGTGGCTTAGTAGATATAACGTACCCTTTATAAATTAATATTTCCTGGGTTTTATCATTGGGCCCTCCTATCTTCCTCATATTCCTTCTTCATGTCCATGAATTATTAATATACACGGTTCTACGGTGCTAAAGACGTTTTCTCCTAAGCTCACAACATCGCCTATACTTCAAAATATGCATCGCAAAGATTTGGCAAGTCGCGCACTTACCTACCGAACAACCATCTCTTTATTGACCTCGACTTCTTCAAATAAGAAGTACAATAGCGGTAAGAATACCACAGAAGCAATGGGTCAGCTTTTCAGCAAGCATATCTGTCAGGGGGTTTATACCCAGGTGATTGATGTCATACACAGAGTGAATATCTAGGATAGGTAGACCAAAAGGATGATATATTGAACTAGTAACGCCTGGCTTCTACTCTCTTTCGAGGGCGCTACGCGCCCTTATATAGTAGATAGACCCCTGTAGGCCTCCTTACCCACTTATACCCTGACAATATCCACGCGCGTCGATCTAGATGGAGAACTCAATACAGCCTCTAGGAGGTTAAACAATCCATGTATTCTACTCTCGGAAGTTTAATTCTCTCCTTCAGTATTGGTGCTATAGAGAGTGAAAATGAGTTGATCTTTGCTAATAACCCTTATAAGATCTTTCCCAATGGCATGGCTTAGAGACTACACATCAGAATTCAGGGGTTACAATATACCTACCTACTAGAATCGCAGTATTTCAATTGGAAGCTAGCGAAAAGCAACAATACATTGTAAATAAGTATTCCGGGGTATTGTTAAGCTTGAATAACACTCAGGGAAGAAGGAAAATAAGCTTATAAGGCACTGATATAATATAGATATAATATAATAACTTAGATAGGAGACCTCCAGTAGGCGAGGTATCAGCCAGATAGCAAAGAGATCTGATTGGATAATGTCACAAACTTCATACTCATACAGTACCTGGTGTTATACGAGAGGGAATTCAAGTTCCACAAGTCAATACTTTTCCTTTACATACTTTTCATTAATCCACGCGTCTACCAGTCACTCCTTTGTCAGGCATTCGAGTCAGGCCACCAATACCATCTAACCCAAATACGTTTTCCGGCCATCACCACCGGATTTAAAGGTTAACTTCAGCGTCGCCCACCGATTTCCTTTTTTCAAACGCAGTGTCAAAATCGGCCACCGTCTTAGTTAGCCTAGGCCCAGATACTCGAAGATTCGGCGCTTGGGACATCATCACCCAGGGCGTCAAAGCCGGAGACATCAACGTTCGATAGAATTGTGCCATTCGCAAGTGTTCGGGAGGCAGATATCACCGTTGCTTAATAGCCCTCCATAAGCCCCAGGGACTGATTAGACTAGCTAAATGAAAAGAAATATCTTTGTCGTAGAAACTTAGCTTGATCATAGTCTTGAGTGCTCGTATCACATCCCAGCTTGGCACCATTTATAATAGGAGATAAAGGCGTCAATACTACTGAGTTATAATAACGGGTTACTGAGATTACTTTAATGTATCTAATCTAACTTTTAGCCCTTCAACCTTGGGTTCCTCCTATGATATGCTATTGAAACTCACTAGATCACAGTTTCATGATGTACCATTTCTTCAGTCACAGCCTCTGTCATTTTAGCCCCCTTAACGTACGTATTCTACTAGTCATTTCCTTGTCAGGTGTCCGAGTCAGAACACGAGTTCCCTACGCGAAAACACCCTACATAATTGTCAAGTTTGTGAACATCTTACCTATATAATCCTAACCCCTACGACCGTTTTCCTCGAAGAGATTTCATCTTACTGCATTTATTCCTATGTTAATTAAAGGACTGAAATACAGTTGTGGTCATCTCAGCCGAGATCAAGCGTCATACCTTATATCTGCTATCAAATACTATCCCAACAACGAAGGTAAGATGGGTAACTGCTTTGGCCAACCTAGTCGCAGACAACCGGGATACTACCACTCTGGTAGTCGCTCGGATCACCACCGCTCGGGACATCATAGTTCAGGACATCATCACTCAGGGCATCGCCACTCAATGCATCACCATCACCCCGGGCATCATCGCTCTAGGGGCCATCGCTCTAGGGGTCATCACTCTAAGAACCACTACTCTAGGAACCATCAGCCGAGGCGTCATGGCAGAAGACGTGCCGATTCGGTAGAAATGTACCGACATACAGGCTATCTAGAGCCAGAAGTAGGAGAAGGGGGTCTTGTAGTTTACCGATCCCCCAACGAACTGCCTGTATCGCTCGATTGATGCGTTACAGCGTCTGTGGCGGAATGAACCATCATTAAAGAACTTGATATACCAGATGATTTTGTTAGTATACATACCTAAATAGCTACCTATTACATACTATTATCTTTCCACATTTATAGTTTTGACTTGTACGTCCCTAACCCCCTAACCCCTTTTCTCTCATATCCACGTTTTTCACATGAACTTAGTCCATCATACTACAATAGAGCCTACCCACCCAAATAGTACATTACTGCCCAGTCCTACTGGGACCAGCGGTATTCTGTTATTACTGCTTGATCTCCTGCTTTTGGAATACCCCTAAGACATCAGGTAAGTAATCCATGTCACCATAGTCATAGCAACGAAAAAGACCCAGGACATGTCCTAACTAACCTTCGACGCTCGGCATCCACGGATCCCGCAGCTTGCAGAAGAACTCGCCCTTGGGCTCGACCTGGCCGCGGGCGTGGTCCTCCATCGTACCGTAGAAGACGTATATATTATCGCCCGCGTTTCCCTGCGAAGAGTCCTCATCAATATAACGTCCAAGGAACAGCCGCAAAAAAGATTATTTAACAATATGTAGGTAGGTAGTCAAGTCAAAATGATAAGGGCGAGAAGCTCTAGTTAGTAGCCTTCCGAGCTCATTAAACACAATCGAAGAGAAATGCATACACCGTATTCTAAAAGCGGCCCGCCACACGTATCGCAGAACTCGCGATGTAGCAACACGCCGCTCCCGTTATCCGCTTCGTGTATTTTTACATGATCCACCCCTTGGGTGATCTTAAATGCCGACTTAGGGATCTTAGTTGTGATACCGTGCTCGCCGCCCGTGAACTTCTTGCAGTTACCGCAGTGGCAGATGCTCGTGCGTGCTTGTAACTCCGGGTCCTCGAGCGTGATGGTGTATTTTATTAGACCGCAGTAACAACCCCCTGGGAGTGGAGCCATGGTCTTATTTTGCTTGGTGTTGTTGGCTTAGTATGTAGATGCTGCGAAGGTACGAGTCTCAAAGATTTGTAGTTGGATGAAATAACTACGAACATGTAAAGATATGATAGGTGCTAGGAGATAAAAAGAAGTAGTAAGATGATTCTAGTCTTTAACTTAAGACGCCTCAACTGATCATCACACCGTTAGTCTCTTAGTGTAAAGACTTAACCTAACCAATTCCAAAATATTTTCAAGGAGACCTCGGTATGTATAAAATCTTTAATTGTAGTTATTTCAATCTTCTTCGAGATTTTGGTAACCTTGTCCCTCTATGACGTCGAAGAGGCGTCATGAATGCAATTCAGTCAGATCGTTTGTCCCACTTGGCCGGGTCGGACATATTAGCTGCGGGCCGGGCCGCTCCACGACACTTAACTTTCCCGGTCCTCGAAGCCGATTTTTACCTATATTCGTAACATGAGCAATACATAATGGAGTATACGCTTAAGTTATGTTTATATACTTAAAAGTATAGACTTCTTGAACAACGCAATGCTATAGGATTTATTCTAGTCTTGGTTATAATACTCTTGCACCAATGCGAGCATATATTACCTGGCATTTTTATTATTTTACTGTGCAGATTATTCTAATTATTCTAATACTGATATGCCTCTAGAAGACTTATATTCGCTTGTGCTTAAGTATGTACTAGTAGGTTGAGTACAAGCATAGTCACTTCGCTTACCCTTACGATATCAACTACCGCCAGCGGATAATCATTCCGGACCATCTGAGGGTTTGAGGTGTAGTCGCAAAGTTTGTCGAGCCAAATTTATTACTTTGATGCGACCTTTTCCAAGACTGGCTTACCATTCCTCAAGCAGTCTTGACAGGTTCTGCCAACAAAGTGTTCTTTAGAAGTTTTATTCTTCTTTTTTCCACATTCTCTGCAATGAAGTTGACATAGGTAGAAATTGCAATCTTTGGCGGGACACTCAACTTTCCATCGGCAGTCTTGAGTGAGATGATCCCCTCCGCACGGACATTTCTTCAAGGAGCATTTTCTTCCCGAGTGGCCCTTGGCACCGCACATACAGCAACGATAGGAGCAAAGCATGGCGTTCTTGTGATGGCTTGAGCCTGGGAGACTTGGACATCCGCACTTTCGGCTGCAATTAACTTGACACTCGAAAGCTGTGTGGTATTGGGGGAAGGGCATGCATTTACACCGGTTGCTCGCCTTGATTGGGCAAGCATATGCCTTGTGGAACGACGAGTTGCAATAACCACATGCTAAGGGGCAGGCCGAAGAGCGATGACTACTATGCTGGTAACAGTTAGCACACGGATTCCTAATCTGCCCCCGGGCCCTTTTCTGCGTAGACTTCTTCTCAAATACTTTGGGTTTATTAGTGAACATTGCTCGGATGTGAGTTCGGCTTAAGCTTCTACGGCGTGATAGTTTATCAAGTTCAGATAGAGGGCGTCGAGGGAAGTAGATGATCCATCCATCTTCGAGGTTGGTACTTAAAGCTACCCTCTTCCACGAATCAGGTGGGGGTAGACTGCTAGACCGTTCAGGCTTTCCTCGACACACACATAATGTATTGACGGCATGAAAGATTTTGGTCGGACTTTTAGAGTAACTGCATGCTCGTGATGGGTTAAGGGAAAGCCGACGGTTTAAAATACCGAGCCGCCGCGTGCTAACAAACTGAGGATCGATAGAAAATTCCACATTAGAAGAGGGGTTGATTCTTATGTGGTGGCCGCCGGAAAACAAAGAATAACGGTAATGTGTTTTTGAAAATGGCCCGTAACTTTTGACGTGTCCCCTCATATCTTTCGTCCAACCGGACTTATATTTGGCCGCTAAGTCTGGATGAGAACGATAGAGATGGCCAAGCCAAACACGCATAGAAGGTTCGGACTCGAGATAATACTGTTCTATAAGCCCCAATATAACCATGCCAATAGTAGCCCCAGGTTCGGGTAACGGGTAGTAATTTAGAGCGTCAAAGGATACGCCATTAAAGAGTAAGTAGAGGGGGTGTAGTTCTGCTCCTATGGAGGACTGGTTGCTACCAGTTTTAAGCATCCTATGCAGAAGATACATGTCAAGGCCGAGTTCTCGATCGCGACGTTTGACTGTATGGAATTTGCCATCTCGATTCGTCTTGTTGTAGACTGCTGCTTTCACTCTCTCTGGCAACATATAGTCCTGCATAATCCGATTGACTATGACGTCGCGACTAGATATAGACTTATGCTCATATTTGGTAAAGTCCAAGTCAATACCGTTGAGGGGATAATGCGGCGTAGTCATGTTGAGAGGTAATGAGGCCTTATATCTATTAAAGTTGAATACTTCCGGTTCATAATTCTAGAGAAAACCATTTGACAAGAATATAGAAAGGAATGATATTACGGGTTCAACATCGAGTTAAGTACAGGTAACTAACTCATAAAAGATGAAGTTAGAGGGTTTTGGAAGATGCGGCGATTTGAACTGAACCTTGGAGGTACCCACCGAAGGTACCTATCTCAATGTGGCTTAAAAGAAAGCTAGCGGGTGGCTTATGTATAAGTTGTGGCTAAGGTATGAATTCTTTGTGTAACTATATAACTACCTAATGTACATATGTATATAGTTGTAAGTCTAGACCTGCCCATAAACAAAATCAAGGTAACATTACTAATTCCCCAACTCCGAATGGCGTTTTTCACGATGTGGATTCCAGAGGGCTTTTTTTTTGGCGGGGAACAGCTGGGGGATAGAAAAGGGAAACATGCTCGCCAGTTTTCCAGTTTTCCAGCTTTCCAGCTTTCCAGCTACACAACTATAGTCGCTAATTTCGGCCCGTAAAGCAGAAAAGCGTCCCTCCGTTTTACAACACTCCGTTGACAGAAGAGGCAAGTCGCTCGAGGCCAAGACGTCCTCGGTCTAACATTCACGACCATGTTCCTCCAGCCATACTACCTCGAATACTGCTGGTTATTCCTGAGGCCGCGAGGGGAATAGTTCTTGTCACTTGTGACTAGGCTTTGTCCAAACGGAGATGCTCCCTTGTCCTTTTGTCAGCATGCAGAGAAGTAGGGTGAGGTAAAGTAAGTAAGAGCAGGGTAGAACGGGGTAGAGCACGCCCGCTGTTACGCCGCGGGATTGCATCAAAGGTCCAGAACCTCTCATAAAGAACTGTGATGTCTGGTCCTGGGAATCGGAGCCGCGCCCAGCTTCCAGGTTCTCCTACGCGCGCCCCACTTTACTTTTGCGCTTCGCGGTTGATCGGTTCCCTAGGCCAATATTCCCTATGAATGTCCGTTGGTCATGTTCGTGAAATGGGATCGATAATTTTCCTCCTATTATCTGGGTCATATTCGACCATGTATATATCTACTAGTGTGTATAGTCAGATCTCGTTCGGAATGAGTTCCCGTCAGCCCACTTGTACTCATCAGCCTCATAATCTATTAGTATATATATAAGAGTCCTTTAGATTCGTTTTTCACAATGTTGAGTTCTCCGGTTCCCATCAGGCGAATACTTAGCGTAATACGCTGATAGCATTATGGGTCGTTTCGGTCTTTTTGCATCACTGCTTCTAGCAGTCAGCTTAAGTGCGCCACGCTTTCTATGTATACGCTGACAGTGGTCTTACTAACACGGCGTAGATGTCCAGAAATGTCTCGGTCAAGCGAGCGCACCAACCCTGTACAAGGACAGCAAAACCGGCATCGCATTCGACACATGGACCGTACCGGATAAGGCCGACGGTTCTGGTGGTGTATCGGCCTGGGGTGGTCTCACCTTTGGTGTTGCACTACCAGAGAATGCCTTGACTGTTGATGCTACTGAGTTCATAGGATACCTAGTCAGTATAACAAGTTTAAATCTAATCTATCAGAACACTAATCCCTATAATAGAAATGCGGCTCCAACGGCACAACCACGAACGGATGGTGCGGTTTGTCTTTCGGGGGACCGATGACAAATAGCCTGCTTCTCATGGCTTGGCCATACGAAGATGAAATCTTAACTTCGCTCCGCTTCGTCAGTGGATATACTAGCCCGGACGTATATACAGGCAATGCCAAGTTAACTCAAATCTCGTCTACCATCGATAAGGACCACTATACTCTAATCTTCAGATGTCAAAACTGTTTAGTATGGGACCAAGACGGTGCATCAGGTTCCGCGTCGACTAGTGCCGGCTCCTTAATACTAGGATGGGCTAGCTCACTTAAATCTCCGGGGAACCCGGCCTGCCCAGCGGATATTACTATTAACTTCCACAGCAACGGTCAAAGCATCTGGGGCGCCACTCTAGACGAAAACGCAGCAAACCCATCGTATTCAGAATGGGCTGCCCAAGCTACCGCTACAGTTACCGGAAGCTGCGGAGGAGCAACACCCACGACCACCACATCCACTACTACGTCAATTCCTACTGCTACTGGCATCCCGGTCCCGACCGGCACTTATGACTACATTGTTGTTGGTGCCGGTGCTGGTGGGATTCCTTTGGCAGATAAGTTGAGCGAGGCTGGAAAGAGTGTATTGCTTATTGAAAAGGGACCACCTTCTTCAGGACGATGGGGCGGCTCGCTCAAGCCGGAATGGTTAGATGGCACTAACTTGACTCGATTTGATGTCCCCGGTCTGTGCAACGAGATATGGGTCAACTCCGCAGGCATTGCCTGTACTGATACAGATCAGATGGCTGGCTGTGTGCTGGGTGGAGGCACCGCTGTTAATGCTGGTTTATGGTGGAAGGTATGTCATATGATGCATTCACAAATACGGCGATACTGATGGTGAAACTTAGCCGTATACTTTAGACTGGGATTATAACTTTCCTAAAGAATGGAAATCGTCGGATATGGCTGCTGCAACAAAGAGGGTATTCTCTCGCATTCCTGGTACTGACCATCCTTCGATGGATGGAAAGAGATACTATCAGCAAGGCTTTGAAGTTCTATCTAGCGGTTTAAAAGCCGGTGGATGGTCAGAAGTT